CGCCAATGCCTACAATTCCAAGTCTCCCACAGCCTACATTGCCAACTTTACCAGCCACTTAACCTTCTTTGTATCAAGCTATACAAGATAAGGAACAAGTTAAAGCTTCTAATAATGCTATTACTTAGCACATTAACAAGCAGATATTTATTATTGTACAGGTGGCTTTATCTTTTTAGTTATACAGTTACGTTTAGACAGCTCAGCTATAGTTGCTTTACTATTATACTTGTAACTGGACTCTGTATAAAACAGTTTCACGATTCACAGATAATACAAGTTGTTATTCTTCAATTCTCTTGATCTTGTGATACTTTGCCTAAGGCTACTCTGCCACCACTTCCAAGCTTGCCCACCATGCCTGCTGTTCCAAAGCTCACTTTGCCTCCATTGCCAAGCATACCCTCAATCCCCACTATCCCAACAACAACTCCCTCTATCCATTCCTTTCCCCACCACTAGTTGGAAACTAGTGCGAGGAAAAATGCATTTTGTTTTGATCTGCCATATGCTAGAAGGATGCATCTCCTGGCTTCATCTCTTTATGTGTCACACAGAATTTCCCATATTGTGCTTATTCTTTTCTCTTTTTTTTTTAGCAGCATAATGTACACCTGTATATTTCTCTGCTCTTCTGTACAGTTTCCTATGTTTTCTGGATAATCATTGAGTTCTATATCGTTCTTAAAGCTTTTGAACATATTCAACAATTGCAAACCCTCCAACATTCATCATGTACATTCTAAAACCATATCAATTTAGTCTAGAACTCAGAAATAAAAGCTTAAAATGTCAATCTAAGCTTCAATCTCATTTCCAATATATATAAAAACTCTATGTTTAATTAGTGTGGTCCATGGATGGATCCATAGACTTTTTACCCAACGGGAGAACGATATTTTTATCAGGCAAATAATTGTTTCTGTCGGATGGAAAATTTTCCGTCCAACACAAATAAAATTCCTACGTCGTTTCAAAAAAATTTATGGGTCAAGTTGGACCGTTTTGCTCTCCCCAGCCCATTTCCACTGAGTCATAGGTCTCGAGACTCTCAAATATAAGGTACATAAAAAAACCCAAATAGAAAACGACAATCTGTTCTCACAAAGTATGCTTTTTCCAACTCCAACTGGGACTTGGAGAGAGTGTATATATATTTACCTGACGCCGCAACAATTAAGCAAACCTTGTTACTATATGAAGACTTTCATCTTTCAAAACCAAAATTCCATTCTTATAATATCAACAAATACCAATAATCTTTCCTCTATCAACCGAAAATATGCAGCTTCAAAACCTGTTCAACTTCGACGACGACCAAACCAGCCCAAGCAACTTAACCAGTCTACAAGTCACTTTCATCTCTGCTCGAAACCTTATTCCAAAATCCAAATCCTCAAACAGGAATCAAACCTACGTTGTTGCTTATATCGACCCGAATCAGCAAAAGTTTAAATCAAAAGTGTCACTACAACAGGCAACATGCACCCTAAATGGAACGACAAGGATATAATGGTCGTAGATAATGATTTGAAGATTACGAGACCTAATGCTTGCATGATGCTTGAAATATACTAAGTAAATGGAAGCGTTAGTATTTTCAAGAAAGATGAGAAGATTGATGTGGCTCATGTCCTGTTAGAAAATTTCATACCTGAAAATCATGGAAGTGAGAAGTGCATGGCTTTGAATGTTCGTTCTGATTCTGAATCTGATGGTGAGCCTAGAGCTATACTTAATGTTGGCGTCGAAAGGCTTTTTGATCATCCAAGATTGTTCAGTTCGTTTGAAATCGAACGTTTTTCATGCTAGGGTCAGGTTTATTCAATGCAAAACAATGTTATTTATCGCTTTGTAGCGTTAGTATTTTCCAAGAAAGATGAGAAGATTGATGTGGCTTCATGTCTGTTAGAAAAATTTCATACCTGAAAATCATGGAAGTTGAGAAGTGCAATGGCTATTGAATGTTCGTTTCTGATTCTGATCTGATGGTGCAGCCTAGAGCTATACTTAACTGTGGCGTCAAAGCGCCTTTTTGATCACTCGAAATTGTTCGTTCGTTTGAAAATCGACACCCAGTTCGTTTGAAATCGAACGTTTTTCATGCTAGGGTCAGGTTTATTCAATGCAAAACAATGTTATTTATCGCTTTGTAGATTCTTCAGAAATGTTACTTGTCGTTTGCTTTATCGAGCAAGAATGCTGTCGTTTGTTTATTAATTATTTCAGTTTAGTTGGAAAGTTTAAGCAGCAATTAAAAAATACTAGAATGAATTTAGCCAAAATCATTTATATAAATAATTTTATCCTGAGCATATATGGGTCCATGCACAGAATATAAGTAATAAGTCTTTCTCGAGAAGGAAATTTCTACCTACACCTAATATATGACACCTAATATATGAGTGATCTGATGCACCAAACCAATAAAAAAAAAAATTTTTCTTTTTTTTTTTTTTAAAAAGCCAGAGATCGATGATTTTTTTTTTTTTTTTTTTTTTTTGAAAAAAGCCGGACATCCATGATTTTTTTTTTTTTGGTTTAAATTTCAACTAGATCGTTAGAAATGAAGTATTGACGTACAGTATTTCACTAACTATTTAACGATCTGAAGTCCAATAATTTGGTATACGATTGAACATCAATAATTAAAATCCAATAAATTAAAAGTGCTTCATATTTGACAATAACTACCAACTGTCCCACAACAACAATTGACACTATTTGAATAAAATAAGAGTAATGCCGCCACACTTTTAGGCAGTAAACTCTATAATTGAATCCCCCAACTAACACTTTGCTGAAATTGTTGATGTTTCAAATAATCATTTTTTTGTAAAGAAACTTTACAAAATTTTGTTTGAATTGAAAAACCAGAAGTTCATTTTAATTTTTTAGATAAATCTATTCCTTCAAGGTAAAACTTGTGATTCAGATTATCCGGTTTGATTCAGTTTTCTATAAGACTATGTTTGCAAACAATTTTTCATGTAATTTTGATGTTTTTACTAAGTTTAAACACTATTTTTACTATTTATAGTATTACATATTATACTATAATCTATACTCTTGTTTATAATTTGAAGAGCAGATTATAAAATGTTGCTCTCTTTAACGTTTGGTGAAACACTATAACTCGATAATTAATAGTTAATGACTGTTAAAACAATTAATTCCATCGAACATAGTGAAGGAAAACTAAAATACTAAAATATTTCAAATCAGTTCTTATTTTTTGGTTCAACCAAAATTCACCCCTTTTTTATTCTCTTGAGTCGTGACAGTACCTCACTCGACGGAGTTGACACATATACTCGACCAAGTCTTTTCTTCTACAAGATAAGATTTGTACTTTGTACTCCAACTGTTTGATTTGCAATTTCATATACTACTCTCTATTCTCAAAAATGGTGATTATTAGGCTGTTAGCCCCAATTGAGCTAACCCAACACACCAAACTCAGAGGCTGACCGACTAATGCATTTACGCACACCATCTCCATGTCTATAAAAACTTCATACAATTTGCTTGTCCCCTCACCAAAACCTCTTACTTTGTACTCCAACTGTTTGATTTGCAATTTCATATACTACTCTCTATTCTCAAAAATGGTGATTATTAGGCTGTTAGCCCCAATTGAGCTAACCCAACACACCAAACTCAGAGGCTGACCGACTAATGCATTTACGCACACCATCTCCATGTCTATAAAAACTTCATACAATTTGCTTGTCCCCTCACCAAAACCTCTCTGTCATCTAATTTTTTACTAACATGGCTTCTTCCCGTTTCTTCATTTTAGTTATACTGATTATCGCATTGTCATTTTCAGGCATCGGAGTTTCAATGGCAGCTCGCCGCAGTCTGCAGGAGCCACTTTTTGGCTATATCCCACGTTTAGATCTTCCTCCACTGCCTCGCACTGGAAACACTTTTCCTGTTCCACCAGTTGTTAGGTTGCCTCCTTATGTAGTTGGAAGAAGACCATCGTTCACCCCATTTTCATTTCCAATTCCACCTTCTCGTTAATTTTTTTTATTATTGAAATTTCACCTTATTGTAAAATTAAAAACAAAAATCTTATTCCTAGCATACTAGCTAGGTTATGTAAGAGAGTGTTACTGATGATTAAAAAGATGCTGTATAAGGAAAATTTGTATGATTTGCTTTAGTTTAATATATAATAAAGGTCCATGTTGAGTCAAGATTTGATTGTGTTTAATATGTAATAAATGAAAGAAATAAAAAGGATAAGGTAAGTATTAAATTTTACAGTCCCGGCCCACTCGGAGTGCTTCTTTTCACCAAATTGAAGCCGACAACTTTGACCCGTGAATAAGCCTCATTGCGTTTTATTATTACAAAGACAATTGGATTGATTGTTGTTTTATGATATGTATGATTATGATCTTAAACTTAGTTAGTCAGCATTTGGTTATTGATATACAACAATCAAATTTCAATATATATGAATTTTTAAACGAAAATTTCATCAAAAGAACTAAATTTGAAAAGAGATTGTAATTATACAATCGGGTATGATCTGGTTAGTCTTCTCATTTATGTGAAAAGTGAAAGGTCTCGAATTCGAATCCTCTCGACTACACGTGTTTTCACCAGTTGTGTAGTCTGCAGTATTATTTCGGTCCGATGGACCTCCCAATGAATAAAAAAAATTATCCAATCAAATATTCATTAAATTAGGTTATTGGACTTCAAACAAGGGTTTGGTGTGGGAAGTGGCAAAATTAATTAGTTGATGACTTCAAATATTATTTGGTGGAAGCATGTTTTAACCTCATTACACATAAAAGTATAGATTTTCTGACTTGGAAATCTAGCCAACCACAACTACCTTTGACAACTTACAATTGGAAGCTAAGCTAACCAGGAAATAATAATCAACTTCAAAGAATTTCACAATTTTCCCTAACTAAACCACCTACCTACAAATCTCATTATCTATATAAGCCCAAAACCAGACATTCATTTTCTCTCATCCCAAACACGATCAAATCCCTTTTCTTAGTTAACTCTCATAATTAATTATGGCCTCTTTCAAGTGCTCAATCCTTATTGCTTTCTTCATTGCTTTGTCATTTTCAAGCATGGATGTTGGCTTAGCAGCCCGTCATCTTCTGCAATTGCCTCCATTGCCTTCTGTGCCAAATTTGCCAAAGCCTACATTACCACCATTGCCTACCAATATCCCAACTCTGCCTCAGCCAACATTGCCAACTACACAGCCTTCTTTGCCCAACCCAACTGCACTGCCTCCACTTCCTAGCTTACCCACCATGCCTGCTGTTCCAAAGCTCACTTTGCCTCCATTGCCAAGCATGCCTTCAATCCCCACTATCCCAACTACAATTCCCTCTATTCCGTTCCTTTCTCCACCACCTGGCAACTAATTAAATCTTTGAGGCATCTTTTATTGCACTTCGATGGAGTTATTTTGTGACACTGATCATAGCTTGTCTTTTTATTTATTTTACGTGTTTGAGCATTGTCAGTTCCTCGTTATGATATTTGTTTCTACCATTGTATTTCTTGATTGTTGTCTTTTTCTTTTAAATATTTGTATACCGTCTTGGCAACATTAGCCTATTCATTTTATTCTGTATCCAATATATATTTATTGTTTTAATTGATCAACTTATCTAGTAAAAGTAGGAGATTTGGTTTAGTCTAGGGCTCTCTGTTTCTCCTCTATTTGTTTTCTTAAAATATTTCTTGGAGTTTCTTATGTTTGATTTGAGGTGTTCAAAAAAATAATCACATACTTATATTAACTCATTAATCACCAATACTCATTATTATCAATTCCTGCTAATTATCACCACTGGCCATATACTGGCCACCATGACTATTCACTGACGATACTGAAATTTGTCATTTTATATATTTTTTCTTTATATTAATAATAAAATTTTAAAATATGAAATTGATGTAATTTCAAATATTTTTATTAATTTTGATAAAAAAAATACTTCTTAATATTATAAATTGTAAATTTTAATATTCTTTAATTAATTTTCAGTATTATAACCAAATAACAAAAAATATATTATTAAAAAAATTTAAAAATAAATTATTTTCCGTTAAACAATCAGAGAGGAGAGCCAAACTAGAAAACTTTATATAATTTTCCGTTACTTTGAATGTAATTCTAGGAATAAAATTTCACGTTTATAACAATATTGAAATTCATGTTTAGTCTAAACCTGCAATAATATTTGCCAAGATCCCACCAAAGCCCAATTCCGTTTTGGTCAATTGGACCGAATAATATATGAAATCAGGTCATTTTCTGTTGGGAATGACCGTTAGTCCCGACTCATAAGCATCAAGCCCAATTAAGTTTTTATTTTAATTAATAAATAATAAAGAGAAGGAAAGCTAATACCCATAAAATTGAGTTCCTTTAATATATATATATATATATATATGAAAGTTGAAATAAAAAGAAAATTCAACGCTCTTTCTTTTTTTAATTTTTAATTTTTCTTTTGTTAGGGATTTTTAAAATTTTATTATATTTTTCTGTATTGTAATTGGACAACTTAAATATTTTAATTAATAACTATTCATATTAAATGATTTAAATTACTGAACCTTACTTATAACTAACTATCTATCTTAAAACACGTTATTTGAATTGCTTAAATTATAAACTACCTAAAATTTAGCTGAATTTTTAAATTATAGTTTTTTCTGTATTGTAATTGGACAACTTAAATATTTTTAATATTTAATACTATTATATTGAAATGAATTTTAAATACTGGACCTTACTTATACAACTAACTATCTATCTTTAAAACACGTTAATTTGGAATTGCTTAAATTTATAAAACCTACCTAAAATTTAGCAGCTGAATTTTAAAAAATCCAAAACATAAATATATCTATCTATTTAATATATCTGCATAAGATTTTTTTTTTACCATGTACGCCAAAGTTTTTGGGTTTTACTTTAATTATTAGTATTGGCATAATATATCTATCTATTTATATATCTGCATAAATTTTTTTTACCAGTTTTTGGGTTTTACTTTATTTATTAGTATTGGCATTAGACCTTAAATATTTATTGAAAATATAAAAAATGTTATCTTAATATTCTATTAACCATATTAGCTAATTTAAATTATAGAACTTTATTTGTAGAATTATCTACAATAATCTATTTGAATTGTTTAAATTAATATGCTATAGATAAAATCTAGCTATTATTAGATAAATTTTAGCTATTATTAGTTGAATTAACATAGTATTCTACTTTTTATAAAACACTTTACTACATTAACACAGTAATATTAGCTTCCACTGTCTCTTTATAAATATGGGAAGCCTTTTCACAATGAAAAAGATCCCATAAGCAAAGAACATATGCTTTAATTTTTTTTTTCTATATAGTTAGTATCCATAAAAGATTGCATATGCATATTCTACTTCTTTAATAATTATTTAAATTTTTTAAAATTATTATTCTTTCAGGAAGCCATATAAGGATCAAATCTCGAAATCAATTCTCATCAAAGTATGACGATGTTTGATGATTTGGTACAAAATTTATGATAAACTTTTATACCTTTCAGTGGTAAACTTTCATATGTGCGTTAATATTATAAAGTCAACTTTTTTTTCTTTTTGTAGAATCATACATTCTCTATCTATGACCTAACTATCAATAGGGCTTATCAATAAAAATTTATTTCAAATAGAATTTTGGATAAATTTATTGTTAATTGTAACTACGGATAAAATTATATGCACTAAGTATAAGTGTTATCTACAAATTTTTAAAACAACTTGAGAGTGGTCACATCATATGCACCAAGTATAAATGTTATCCACAAATTTTATGTCTTGTGGTTTCGACTTATTTTTAATTTTAATTTTTACATTTACATGAGACTTATACACTAAGTGTAGATAAGTCTTATCCTCTGTTTGGTGGATGTGCTAAGTGTACGTAGGACCTCACAACAGATATAGGTCTTATAACCATTAGATAACTTTTAAATTATATTCAACAAACCATTAAAGAGTATCAAACTTATATATACGCGATATATGAGCCCACCTATGGACCAAACCAATCACAATAATAAATTTTTAAAAACTTATTTCAGTTTTACCATTAAAAAAAAAAAAAAAAAAAAAAAAAAAAAAAAAAAAAAATAAATAAATTTTTAAAAAACTTATTTTCAGTTTTAATTACCAAATTAAAAAAAAGTCAAAAAAAAAAAAAAAAAAAAAAAAAAAAAAAAAAAAAAAAACTCTCGTTTTGAAAAAAAAAATGCACTTTTTCATATTTGTTTGGTGCATAGCATGGACCTATATAAATTCTCCCATCAAGTACCGGGCTACTTCACTAAAGTCCCTCTTCCGCAAACAAACCAAAATGAACTAAGAGTTCGAAGAAATTAAGGAAGTTGCTCTAAAGAGCTTATGTTGCCCCACGTCAAACCGCTTTAGGCCCGCAAAACCATCTTAGATTCTACTAGGCTTTTATACGCAGTTTCGCGAAAAAAAAAAAAAAAAAAAAAAAAAAAAAAAAAAAAACTCTCGTTTGAAAAAAAAATGCATTTTTCATTTGTTTGGTGCAAGCATGGACCTATAAATTCTCCCATCAAGTACCGCTCACTTCACTAGTCCCTCTTCCCAAACAAACCAATAACTAAGAAGTTCGAGAATTAAGAGTTGCTCTAGAGCTATGTTGCCACGTCAAACCTTTAGCCGCAACCATCTTAATCTACAGCTTTTACCAGTTCGCTTCAATCCTGCAAAGATTAAATTGCACTGTGTATAATTGAACAAGAAAAAGAATGAAACTTTACTAATGGAGGATATAATTTTAAACAAAACCTGCACAGCGAGCAGCAGAATTCCAGTGTCCTTCGCCATGGATGTTGATGTAATTTATAAGTATGGCGTCTTCTTCCACACTCCATGGACCTCTCCTAAAGTCCAGTATGGCGTCTTCTTCCAAAGTCCATGCGCCTTTCCTTATGTCTGTATATTCCTCTTCTTCTCTCTCGCATGAAGCACAGCAGGATTCTGCATCTTGTTCATTATTGTTTTCCAAAAAGACCTGATCTTTTTGGTTATTGCTCATGGTGATCCTGATCTGACCATTCATGTCATCAGTTTTCTTGAAATTTGCAACTGAACTGCAACTTTCGCTGCTCACTCTATCACTGCCACCACCGACATAATTACAAGAAGACTGAGAACTACTTCCACGTGGATCATTACCAGCATCATCCCAGCTTTGGCCAGTGCTAGAAGAGGTAGATCCAGAATTAGGACTTGACTCATCTGAGTCAAACACCCAAAACCTCATTTTTCCAAGTATTTCCTTTTCGTTTTTCTGCCGATGTTTTAGAACTCTTCTTTATTTGATTTCTATACTCTCATTTAACGGAATGAATTTTTTTTTCTTACTTCTTCTTCACTATCATTCCATGCTTCAAAGGCTTGAAATTGCATGGTATTTATAGGCATAAAATTACTATGACAAAGCAATAAAAAATTTCCTCCACATCACAATTGGAGAAAATTTCATCCATGAGCCCATGACCAATATCTCCACTTGTTAGTCCTAATTATTTTTTTTATTAAATTTGTGTTGATTTTTTTTTTTTTAAATATGTGATTCACTTTGTAAGAACTTTAATAAAGATTGATATATTTATAGAGAGAGACGTAGATTTGGAAATGAGAGAAAGTTCCAAGAGCTTTCTTTGCCGATTGCGTTGTTATTTTCCGAGTACTTTCATGCTTTCCTCTTTTCCTTCTTTCCCGCCTTTTCAAAAAGATGGTTTGTGAATATATTCTTTGCGTTGTATGAGGATGAATGGGTAACAAAAGTCTGCTAGTAAAATAATTAGAAATCAAATCTTCAAAGTTGAATATGTTATCAAGAATAAATTTCTGTATAATCTGAAAAATGGGTAACAAAAGTCTGCTAGTAAAATAATTAGAAATCAAATCTTCAAAGTTGAATATGTTATCAAGAATAAATTTCTGTATAATCTGAAAAAACTATTTATTTTATTTTTATGGTTAATTATTTAGTTATATAAATAATAAATCTATATATAATTGTGGGAATGAAGGGAAATAATGGGATTTCTTACTGAGATTGAGATATTCTAAAATAATCTTAGTCATAGCCAATTAAAATTTTCCACTTAAAAATATATATATAATTTTTGTTCAATTTAATTAGATATCTTTTATTAAAATTAATTTTTTAAATAAATACATGTAGATAATTAGCCTTCAATCAGCATTCGAAGGGATCAGCATTCGAAGGAATGTACACAATCAGCACTTGAAGGAATGAATAATAAGGCATTTCAGTGCTAGAGGAAAAGGAAAGGGTTCGAACATAAATCTATTGTTGGATCTACATGCATTTACCATAAGACTTTGTCTTAGTATGCAAATGTATTTTTATTTTATATTTCTTAAAATTGAGAAATAAAGAGAAAAAGGAGAAAAACATAACAAGAAATAGCAAAAACAATAGAAAGCAATAAACAATGTCGTATTATAAGAATAAATTACAATAATGGAAGTAAAAACAATGGTACTCCAACAGATTTATAAGAATTCCACTAATGGTTCAAAGCAGTCAAAAGCAGCATAGTGAAAGTTTTAGTTTCCAGTGGAGGAGGGGAAAAGAATGGAAACTAGAGGGAATTGTAGTTGGGATTGCTGGGAATGAAGGCAAGCTTGGCATGGAGGAAAATTCATCTTGGGCACGTAGGCATGGTGGGCAAGCTTAGGGAAGTGGAGGTAGTGTAGTAGTGTAGTTGGGTTAGGCAAGTTTGGCAAAGTGGGTTGTGGGAGAGTTGGAATATTAGGAGGGATTGATGGTGAATTTGGCATCGAAGGCAATGGTGGCAATTGCAGAAGGTTGCGAGCCGCTACGCTAACGTCCATGCTTGAAAATGACAAAGCAATCAAGAGAGCGAGAATGAAACAATTGAAAGAGGTCATGCTTTTATGTGTACGTTCCTCTAATATTTGACTTTCTTATTGGTCTGGATGAGAAAAACAAGTTCCATTTATAGGCTTATATAGCTGATGAACTACGGCATAGGCACCATAATCACAAATCCCATTTTAGTCATTTTTGTTAGTTGACCTTTCTCATCAGTTTTCCACTTAAAGTTGATCAATGTAGTTGAGGAAAGATATACACATATACTGCTATAACATGTTTTGAGTCAAGAGATTTGATTGTGTTGTGTAGGAGATTTGAATTGTGTTGGGTGTCATATGAGCTAGGGTATACATTTTCTGCGAGGTCGTATTGATGGGTTTGAATCTGAAGACTGTTTGAGTCAAGAGATTTGATTGTGTTGTGTCATATAGCTAGGTATACATTTTCTGCGATCTAATTGATGGGTTATCTAACTGACTAACTTTGAGTTCTAGCTGCCAAAAAATGGAATAAGTCATCAATCTTCCACTCTTTACTGTTTAATTTTTTGTAATAGGAAATTATTTTTTAAATGAAAGAAATAAAAAAGATATAAGACAAGGTTGATAGTAGGCGAGCCTATCACGGTTTGTATATGGGTCAGGTTTTGGATTTGAAAATACCAAATTTTATATTGTTTCCATTCGGCTAATATTTCTTTTCACAAATTGAAGTCTGCAACTTGACCCATGAATAACTCTCCCTTATCTTCCACATCTTGGAATGTCTCTAAGTCCAATTTTTTTTTTTTTAATTATCACAAAGCTAATTGGAACATTAAATTCATAATATGAATAATAATGATATTAAACTTAGGGATCCTTTGGTCATTGGAATACAGACAATTAAATTTCAGTATATATGAATTCTGAAAAGAAAATTTCATGAAAAGAACTAAATTTGAAAATAGATTCTCTTTTTGTAATTATACAATTAGGTTAGGACTTCAAACAAGGGTTGGGTGTGGGAAGTGGCCAAAAAAAGCCTGATTGATTAGTTAATGACTTCACATATTATTTGGTTGAAGCATGTTTTGACCTGATTACACTTAAGAGAATAGATATACTGACTTGAAAATCTAGCTAGCCAACCACAACTACATTGAAAACTTATAGGTGGAAGCTAAGCTAAACAGGAGAGAATAATCAACTTAAAAGATTTCACAATTTTCCCTAACTAAACCACCTACTCACAAATCTCATTATCTATATAAACCCAAAACCAGACATTGATTTTCTCATCCCAAACATATATCCAAAGCCCTTTTCTTAGTTAACGCTCATTATTAATCATGGCCTATTTCAAGTGCTCAATCCTTGTTGCTTTCTTGTTTCAGAGTGCTCAATGCCTTGTGTGCTTTCTTCATTGCTTTGTCAGTTTTCAAGCGATGGAGTGTGTGCGGGCGTTAGGCGGCGCTCGCCATGCTCCTGCAATTGCCTCCGATTGCTTCTCATGGCGCAAAGTTTACGGCAAACCTGCCACTGCCGCCAATGCCTACAATTCCCAAGGGTCTCCCCGAGCCTAAACGATTGGCCAACTTTAACCAACGGCCACTCAACGCTTCGTTGCCCTAAGCCTACTGCTGGCCACCGCTTCCAAGCTTTGCCCGACCATCCCTGCTGTTCTTCAATTATGCTCACTTGTGCTCCATTGCCCCAAGCGATGCCTGCTATCCCAGCTACAATTCCTTCTATCCCGTTGCCTTTCTGCGCAGCCGCCTGGGCCAACTAATTAAATCTTGGAACGGTCCGTTTGCGGTGCACTTGCGCATGGAGTTTATTTGCGACAACTGATCATAGCTGTGTTTTTTATATTTATGTTTATTGATTGCCAAGCATGCCCTCTATCCCAGCTACAATTCCTTCTATCCCGTTCCTTTCTCCACCGCCTGGCAACTAATTAAATCTTGGAACGTCCGTTTGCTGCACTTCCATGGAGTTATTTTGCGACACTGATCATAGCTTGTTTTTATATTTATTTTATGTGTTTGAGCATCGTCAGTTCCTCATTATTGATATTTGTTTTCACTATTGTAATTCCTGATTATTGTCTTTTTCATTTAAATATTTGTATACCATCTTGGCAACATTAGCCTATTCATTGTAATGTGTATCAGTATAAATTTATTGTTTTAATTGATTTTAAATAGTTATGTTTGGTGAGGTTGTCCAGATTTTTTTTACTTAGTTTATCCAAGCCAGGATGAGTATAAGTGAGGAGCTTTCACTGAGTATAGTTTTTCCTAGATTTAAAATAATAAAATAAATTCATATTTTCAAGATAAAAAAAAGTCATATATGGTTGAATAATTGTGTTACAATTTAAGTGAAATACTCAACTTATTCATCTCCTTTACATGGCATTAGAACAAATTCGACTTGATTAAGTTATTTTTCAATTCATTAGTGTCTAATTCCAACGAGGCCTATTCAACTTTAAGGGCAAAAGGCGCAACTCAATTTTAGATAAAGGATTTCAAATTTCCAGTGTCAAGTAAAAATCTTGTCAGTTGCGATTGAGAACCTTTTAGTATTGCTTATCAGTCCAGACATCTCAAGCTAATCTAAAACCACAATTTTTTAAAAATTGGTGCTTAGTTTAGTTTTATTTAAAACTATAAAAAATTAAAAAGTTGGCTGATTTGTTGTTTTGAAGTTCAAATTGAGCCAAATTCAAAATGTGTTTTTTGGCCAATTAATGGGTAAAATATTTTTAATCAATATTTACTTCATCCATAAAGATGAAACTCTTGACCTTACTTAAAAAGAAAAGAGTATCTAACCTTTCGTTTACACAGGGGAGTTGATACACTTAAAAGTGTTTTTTATATATCTCATCTCACACAAAGTGTTTGGTATATGTCTTTCCAATCATAGTACATTGAACCATTAATACTGCCAAGTGTTGATGCTAGGGGGTGTTTTGACCCGTGGAAGATCCGGCCGTGGACCAGGTTTGACTCGTGGAAGATCCAGATACGAACCGGGATTGACCCATGGAAGATCCAGATGTGACCTGGTCTTGACCAGTGGAAGATCCACATGTGAACCAGGCTTGACCCATGGAAGATCCGGATGTGACCGGGGCTTGACACGTGGAAGATCCAGATGCGGCCTGGATGCGCTCAATTAAACGAGGCATCCAAAGGTAGCGCATACTATCTTTAAATTGTTTGCTATTAACGTCACATTTAAGCTGCTTTGCTTGCTTTTGGACACTCCTTGTCCAGTAGTTCTTTATCTCATTGTCTGTTCTTCCCGGCAAATGCTGCGCTATTTTTGACCACCTTTAACATTTAAAAAAGAAAAAAAAAAAAAAGATAAATAAATGCTAGATTAGGCCAAGAAAATAAAAACCTAGCAATAACCAGATATTTTTTTTTTTGTATATAAGCCCTCGAAGGTAGAACATAAAAGGTTTTTACCCTCCCCACAAAGAATCAGATCAATTATTTGATAATTAAGTACCTGTTGCCCCATCGAGAATGAAGTTCAAGAATTAAGAGTTGTTCTTCAAGAGTTATGTTGCCACGTCGAATATCGGGCCGCAAATAGTTTAACCATCTTAATCTACAGCTTTTACCAGTTCGTTTCAATCCTGCAAAGATTGCACAGTGTACGTATTATTCAACAAGAAGAATGAAAGGTTACGACAGGTTGTTGATCAGCAAAAGTGGATTACATTCCTGGACGAACTTCATTTGCAAGGTAAAGATTTGGAAAAAAAAAAAAAAAAAGAATGAAAGGTTATTAAAGGTAATTAATGAAGGATTTAATTTTAAACAAAACCTGCAGAGCGAGCAGCTGCGTTCCAGCGTCCTTCGCCATGGCTGCAGACATAATTCACAAGCGTCATGTCTTCTTCCACAGTCCATGGACCTCTCCTTATGTCAATATCTTCTTCTTTTTGGTCATCTTTATCGGAAATCATCTGACGATCTTCATGGTCTGGGTTTACAAGAGATCCAGGTTCGAGGCCCCAGTTCATGTCATCAGTTTTCTTGAAATTTGCCACTGAACTGCAACTATTATCACAAGAATGCTGAGAAGTACTTTCAAAAGAATCATCACCAGCATCATCCCCGCTCTGTCTGGAGCTAGAAGAGGTAGATCCTGAATTCGTAATCGACTCATCTGAGTCAAAGACCCAAAACCCCATTTTTCAAAAATTTTCTTTTTGTTTGTCTTAGAATCGTTTCACATCATAAAAGAATTAATAAAGGTTACAGACATTGATTTGAAAAGGAGAGTAATTTCCAAGAGCTTTCCATGTCAATTGCCTTGTTATTTTCCGAGTACTTTCTTGCTTTCCTCTTTTCTTTCCTCCCCACCATTTCAAAAAGATGGGCTGTGAATATATTCTTTGCGTTGTATGAGCGTGGCTGAATATATTCTATCGTTCACAAATGTCCGCTTCTAAAATAATTAGAAACCTAATCTTAGAAAATTGAATCCTGTTCTCAAAAAAAATTTTTGTTTTTATTTTTATAGTTTATTATTTAATTAAATTAATAACAGGTATAATTCAAATACCATCCCATTAATTCAACCAACATCCCAAAAATTAAATATTTATATTAACAATACAAGGTGTTACGTTTTAAATCCTAACATTCTTTGGTTAGTGCTGGGCCAAAAAAATCCCCAAGTTGGATGACTTTAATGTTTGGTGACATTGTTGCTCCATTTCCGTCCTGTATTTTTTGGACTGCTTGTATTGAGAATATTTTTTACTATACAAAATTTAAAAAATTAGAATATTTTATATTAACATACAAGGTGGCAATACAAGGTGTTACGTTTTAAATCCTAACATTCTTTGGTTAGTGCTGGGCCAAAAAAATCCCCAAGTTGGATGACTTTAATGTTTGGTGACATTGTTGCTCCATTTCCGTCCTGTATTTTTTGGACTGCTTGTATTGAGAATATTTTTTACTATACAAAATTTAAGCCAACCACCGAAATTGTAAATGAACCGAATCCGAGTTATTTATGAGTTATTCGAAATCTAGCTTTCTATGCTTATTTAATAAATAAGTCAAGTAGTTGAGTCGAAAAAGTGGATTGAGCTACTCAGAATTTAATTAATTTGATAAAAGATTGTTCTGATTTACTTTTTCATAATTGTTTAATAAATCAGTCAAAAACCAATGAATCACTCATTTATACGTATTTGAACAAAGTAGTATATAATTTAATACATTTCTATAGATTTTTAAGCATAGATATAATTTTTAAAATTATTTTCTAATTTTAAATAATATAATACTAATAATTAAAGTTTTCACATTTACGATTAAAAAAAAAAAATTTAAACTCTGTGAAGCCTATTTACGCTTGTGAGCTTATACTCGACTCAAATAGGCTTAACTCGTTTATTAATAAGCCAAGCCTGATTTAGTGAAAACTCAGTAGGCTGTACCCCCTACCAACCATAACTAAATTTAACGACTTATATCTGGAAGTTAAGCTAATTAACCAGAAAAAATTAAAGTCACTATTTTCCCCAGCAAAATCATTTACTCGTGATCATAAATCTTCATATAAACCCAAAACCAGACTTTGCTTCCTCATGCTTGAACAGAGGGGGCAAAAGATCATGCCCAATTTGCTTTAAGATCTATCAGATATCCAAAATGTTTCCAAGTGCTAATCTTTGCTATTCTCTTCATGCTATATCATTTTCGAAGCATTGGATGTTAACGTAGCAGGCTCGTCATCTTCTGCAATTGGCCTGCCATGCCTTCGTGCAAAATTTTGCCACAAAAAAACTAAAAACTACATTGCCACCATTGCCTAACAAAATCCCAACTCTGCCTCAGCCCACATTGCCAACCACACAACCTTCTTTCCCTAACCCAACTACACTGCCTCCACTTCCTAGCTTGCCTACTGTTCCTAAGGTCAGGTTGCCTCCATTACCAAGCATGCCCTCGTTTCCTACTATTCCAAGTACCCTTCCTTCTATTCCTTTCCTTTCTCCACCACCTGGAAACTAATTTTCTTTTTAAAATCAGACTCCAATGCCACTGAACAATACTCATTATTTGGAAACTAAATCTTTGATATGTCATATGTCCCATTGCCTTATCTCTACGGATTTTTTTCTTTTTTTCTTTTTGTGACACATTGTGAGCTTGTCTTTCATTTACTTTTTGTGTGTTAGCATTTTTTTCCGGATATGTATTTGTTTCTGTGATTGTAATTTCATGTATTTATTTATAATTAAATTGAGCTTGATGGAATCTGACGCATATTTTATAGTTACATCTGCCAAATTAGCATTCCCAAAAGGCCAACAACCAGGAAAGAGAACTAAATAGTTCACTCTAAATTCTTTAAGAGCTGAATTGTCACATAATGATTCTTTAACTTGAACACATATCGATTTCACTATAAAAAACACATATCGATTTCACTATAAAAATAAATAAAATAATAAGCATTTTCTAGAAACCCTTCCTGGATTGGCTCAATATAGAGTCCAAGTGGTATAGAAACAGATTTTTTATATTAATTTATTTTCCTTAGGCTACCTGTCTTTAGATTAGTCCACCTACATGGTACAATTACTAAAAAATTATTAAGTGAAAAAAAAAAAAAGACGGTCTATCATCAATTCTTAAAAGTAAAAAATTGAACATATTCAAATTTTCAATACAAACGAATGCTTAAAAATGAAATATGAAAAAAAATAGAATATATTCATATGGATTTTACTCTTGAATAAAATATAATAAAAAATCAATTAGAGAAGAATATAAAAGAATCTTGAATAAAATATAATACAAAAACAATTAGTAAAAAAATATAAAAGTTTTTTAAAAGAAAAGATTTTACCTTAACATAGATAGATAGCTTGTCAATTTAGTGGTAAATGCATGTACGATTCAGTAAGATTCGAATTTTCCTTCCCCGATACTCAAAAAATAAAATAAAATAAGAAAGCCAGCCGCCCACAAGATGATATTTCTTTGCAAACTATTTAGGGTGGAATTAGAGGCCATCTTTGAATATTGGCAATATAATTAACCATCTCTCTACAACTTAATTAATAAATATTGGAGCAAATGATGCTAGCTTTCAACAAGTATAACAAATTATTATTATTATTAATTTGGAAATTCAAATTACTGACATCATCACCCGCAAAAAATCTGGAATTGAAGAGCAAAAAATCCCTTCAATGTATAGCAAGCCGTCGTTAACCTTCCTTATCGAAGCAATTTTTTATATGTAGTTGAAAAACGAAAAAGGAGCCATGGGAAATTGGCTTTCCAGGTAGCAGTGGATACGTTGTCTTTGAATTTCCTGACCTTACTGATGCGGTTTCCCGCCTTTTCAAAAAGATGGTTTGTGAATATATTCTTTGCGTTGTATGAGGGTGAATATATTCTATGGGTAACAAAAGTCTGCTAGTATGGGTAACAAAAGTCTGCTAGTAAAATAATTAGAAATCAAATCTTCAAAGTTGAATATGTTATCAAGAATAAATTTCTGTATAATCTGAAAAAACTATTTATTTTATTTTTATGGTTAATTATTTAGTTATATAAATAATAAATCTATATATAATTGTGGGAATGAAGGGAAATAATGGGATTTCTTACTGAGATTGAGATATTCTAAAATAATCTTAGTCATAGCCAATTAAAATTTTCCACTTAAAAATATATATATAATTTTTGTTCAATTTAATTAGATATCTTTTATTAAAATTAATTTTTTAAATAAATACATGTAGATAATTAGCCTTCAATCAGCATTCGAAGGGATCAGCATTCGAAGGAATGTACACAATCAGCACTTGAAGGAATGAATAATAAGGCATTTCAGTGCTAGAGGAAAAGGAAAGGGTTCGAACATAAATCTATTGTTGGATCTACATGCATTTACCATAAGACTTTGTCTTAGTATGCAAATGTATTTTTATTTTATATTTCTTAAAATTGAGAAATAAAGAGAAAAAGGAGAAAAACATAACAAGAAATAGCAAAAACAATAGAAAGCAATAAACAATGTCGTATTATAAGAATAAATTACAATAATGGAAGTAAAAACAATGGTACTCCAACAGATTTATAAGAATTCCACTAATGGTTCAAAGCAGCAGTTCGCAAGCAGCATAATGAAAAGTTTAGTTTTCCAGCTGGAGGAGGGGAAAAGAATGAAATAGAGGAATTGTAGTTGGGATTGTGGGAATTGAAGGCAAGCTTGGCAATGGAGGAAAATTCATCTTGGCACAGTAGCATGGTGGGGCAAGCTAAAGGAAGTGGAGGTTAGTGTTAGTTGGGTTAGGCAAGTTTTGGCAATGTGGGTTGTGGAGAGTTGGAATATTAGGAGGGATGATGGTGAATTGGCATCGAAAGGCAATGGTGGCAATTGCAGAAGGTTTGCATCGAAGGCAATGGTGGCAATTGCAGAAGGTTGCGAGCCGCTACGCTAACGTCCATGCTTGAAAATGACAAAGCAATCAAGAGAGCGAGAATGAAACAATTGAAAGAGGTCATGCTTTTATGTGTACGTTCCTCTAATATTTGACTTTCTTATTGGTCTGGATGAGAAAAACAAGTTCCATTTATAGGCTTATATAGCTGATGAACTATGGCATAGGCACCATAATCACAAATCCCTAGTCATTTTTGTTAGTTGACCTTTCTCATCAGTTTTCCACTTAAAGTTGATCAATGTAGTTGAGGAAAGATATACACATATACTGCTATAACATGTTTGAGTCAAGAGATTTGATTGTGTTGTGTCATATAGCTAGGTATACATTTTCTGCGATCTAATTGATGGGTTATCTAACTGACTAACTTTGAGTTCTAGCTGCCAAAAAATGGAATAAGTCATCAATCTTCCACTCTTTACTGTTTAATTTTTTGTAATAGGAAATTATTTTTTAAATGAAAGAAATAAAAAAGATATAAGACAAGGTTGACAGTAGGCGAGCCTATCACGGTTTGTATATGGGTCAGGTTTTGGATTTGAAAATACCAAATTTTATATAGTTTCCATTCGGCTAATATTTCTTTTCACAAATTGAAGTCTGCAACTTGACCCATCCATAACCCTCTCTTATCTTCCACGTCTTGGAATGTCTCTAAGTACAATTTTTTTTTTTTTTAATTATCACAAAGCTAATTGGAACATTAAATTCATAATATGAATAATTATGATATTAAACTTAGGGATCCTCTGGTCATTGGTGTACAGACAATTAAATTTCAGTATATATGAATTCTGAAAAGAAAATTTCATGAAAAGAACTAAATTTGAAAATAGATTCTCTTTTTGTAATTATACAATTAGGTTAGGACTTCAAACAAGGGTCGGGTGTGTGAAGTGGCCAAAAAAAGCCTGATTAATTAGTTAATGACTTCACATATTATTTGGTTGAAGCATGTTTTGACCTGATAACACTTAAGAGAATAGATATACTGACTTGAAAATCTAGCCAACCACAACTACATTTGACAACTTGTAATTGGAAGCTAAGCTAACCAGGAAACAATAATCAACTTAAAAGATTTCACAATTTTCCCTAACTAAACCACCTACTCACAAATCTCATTATCTATATAAGCCCAAAACCAGACATTGATTTTCTCATCCCAAACATATATCCAAAGCCCTTTTCTTAGTTAACGCTCATTATTAATCATGGCCTATTTCAAGTGCTCAATCCTTGTTGCTTTCTTCATTGCTTTGTCATTTTCAAGCATGGATGTCGGCTTAGCGGCTCGCCATCTCCTGCAATTGCCTCCATTGCCTTCTATGCCAAATTTACCAAAACCTGCATTGCCGCCAATGCCTACAATTCCCAGTCTTCCACAGCCTACATTGCCAACTTTACCAACCACTCAACCTTCGTTGCCTAAGCCTATTCTGCCACCGCTTCCAAGCTTTCCCACCATCCCTGCTGTTCCAAAGCTCACTTTGCCTTCATTGCCAAGCATGCCCTCTATCCCAGCTACAATTCCTTCTATCCCGTTCCTTTCTCCACCGCCTGGCAACTAATTAAATCTTGGAACGTCCCTTTGCTGCACTTCCATGGAATTATTTTGCGACACTGATCATAACTTGTTTTTATATTTATTTTATGTGTTTGAGAATTATTTTGCGACACTGATCATAACTTGTTTTTATATTTATTTTATGTGTTTGAGCATTGTCAGTTCCTCATTATTGATATTTGTTTTTACTATTGTAATTCCTGATTATTGTCTTTTTCATTTAAATATTTGTATACCATCTTGGCAACATTAGCCTATTCATTGTATTTTAATTGATTTTTAATAGTTATGTATGGTGAGGTTCTCCAGATTTTTTACTTAACTTGTTCAAGCTAGGATAAGTATAAGTGGGGAGCCTTAACTCGAATATAATTTTTCTTAGATTTAAAACAATAAAATAGAATTCATTTTTGCCGATAAAAAAAAGTTATATATGGTTGGATAATTGTGTTACAATTTAAGTGAAATATTCAAATTATTCATCTCCTTCGCATGGTACTAGAACAAATTCAGCTCGATTAAGTTATTTCTCAATTCAACGGTGTCCAATTCCAGCGAGACCTATTCAACTTGAAGGGCAAAAGGCTCAATTCAATGTTAGAAGGAGGATTTGGACTTTCAAGTGTTAAGCAGAAATCCAGTCAGTTGCACTTGAGAACCTTTTATTATTGGTTATCAGTCCAAACATCTCAAGCTAATCCAAAACTACAATTTTTGAAAATTGGTGCTTAGTTTAGTTTTATTTAAAACTACAAAAAATTAAAAAGTTGGCTGATTTGTTGTTTTGAAGTTAAAATTGTTCTAATTGAACCGAACTCAAAGTGTATTTTCCCAGCTCACTAAAAATTAAAATACTTCTGATGAGTATTTATTTCGTCCATAAAGATAAAACTCTTAATCTCACTTAAGAGAGAAGAGTATCAAACGTTTCGTCTCTAAAGTAGTTGATGCACTCAAAGTGTTTTTTATATATCTCATCTGACACCAAGTGTTTAGTATATGTCTTTCCAATCAAAGTACATTGAACCTTGAATACTGCCAAGAGTTGAGGCTAGGAGCTGTTTTGACCCGTGGAAGATCCGGCCGTGGACCAGGTTTGACCCGTGGAAGATCCAGATACGAACCAGGATTGACCCATGGAAGATCCAGATGTGACCTGGTCTTGACCAGCGGAAGATCCAGATGTGAACCAGGCTTGACCCATGGAAGATCCGGATGTGACCGGAGCTTGACACGTGTAAGATACAGATGCGACCTGCATTCGATCAATTAAACGAGGAATCAAAAGGTAGCGCTTAGTATCTTTAAATTGTTTGCTATTAACGTCACATTTAAGCTGCTTTGCTTGCTTTTGGACACTCCTTCTCCAGCAGTTCTTTATCTCATTGTCTGTTCTTCCCGGAAAATGCTGCGATATTTTTTACCATCTTTCACATTTAAAAAAGAAAAAAACAAACACAAATAAATACTAGATTATGCCAAGAAAATAAAAACCTACCAATAACCAGATATTTTTTTTGGTATATAATCCCCTCGGACCGTAGAATCTAAAAGGTTTTTACCCTCCTTGCAAAGAATCAGATCAAGTATTTGATAATTAAGTACCTTTTGCCTCCACCAAGCATGATATTCGAGAATTAAGAGTTGTTCTTCAAGAGTTTTGTTGCCACGTCGAACATCGGGCCGCAAATAGTTTAACCATCTTAATCTACAGCTTTTACCAGTTCGTTTCAATCCTGCAAAGATTGCACAGTGTACGTATTATTCAACAAGAAGAATGAAAGGTTACGACAGGTAGTTGATCAGCAAAAGTGGGTTGCATTCCTGGACAAACTTCATTTGCAAGGTAAAGATTTGGGAAAAAAAAAAAGAATGAAAGGTTATTAAAGGTAATTAATGAAGGATTTAATTTTAAACAAAACCTGCAGAGCGAGCAGCTGCGTTCCAGCGTCCTTCGCCATGGGTGCTGATATAATTTATAAGCTTAAAGTCTTCTTCCACAGTCCATGGACCTTTCCTTATGTCAATATCTTCTTCATTTTGGTAATCTTTATCGGGAATCATCCGACGATCTTCATGGTCTGGGTTTACAAGAGCTCCAGGTTCGAGGCCCCAGCTCATGTCATCAGTTTTCTTGAAATTTGCAACTGAACTGCAACTATGATCACAAGAAGGCTGAGAAGTACTTTCAAAAGTATCATCAGCAGCATCATCCCCGCTCTGGCTGGAGCTAGAAGAGGTAGATCCTGAATTAGGAATTGACTCATCTGAGTCAAAGACCCAAAACCCCATTTTTCAAAAATTTTCTTTTTGTTTGTCTTAGAATTGTTTCACATGATAAGAGCTTTAATAAAGGTCACAGACATTGATTTGAAAAGGAGAGAAATTTCCAAGAGTACTTTCAAAAAGTATCATCAGAAGTACTTTCAAAAGTATCATCAGCAGCATCATCCCCGCTCTGGCTGGAGCTAGAAGAGGTAGATCCTGAATTAGGAATTGACTCATCTGAGTCAAAGACCCAAAACCCCATTTTTCAAAAATTTTCTTTTTGTTTGTCTTAGAATTGTTTCACATGATAAGAGCTTTAATAAAGGTCACAGACATTGATTTGAAAAGGAGAGAAATTTCCAAGAGTACTTTCAAAAAGTATCATCAGAAGTACTTTCAAAAGTATCATCAGCAGCATCATCCCCGCTCTGGCTGGAGCTAGAAGAGGTAGATCCTGAATTAGGAATTGACTCATCTGAGTCAAAGACCCAAAACCCCATTTTTCAAAAATTTTCTTTTTGTTTGTCTTAGAATTGTTTCACATGATAAGAGCTTTAATAAAGGTCACAGACATTGATTTGAAAAGGAGAGAAATTTCCAAGAGTACTTTCAAAAAGTATCATCAGAAGTACTTTCAAAAGTATCATCAGCAGCATCATCCCCGCTCTGGCTGGAGCTAGAAGAGGTAGATCCTGAATTAGGAATTGACTCATCTGAGTCAAAGACCCAAAACCCCAAATCTAATCTTAGAAAATTGAATCCTGTTCTCAAAAAAAAAAAAAATTATTTTATAGTTTTTTATTTAATTAAATTAATAACAGGTATAATTCAAATACCATCCCATTAATTAAACCAACATCCCAAAAATTAAATATTTATATTTACAATACAAGGTGTTACGTTTTAAATCCTAAAATTCTTTGGTTAGTGCTGGGCCAAAAAAATCCCCAAGTTGGATGACTTCAATGTATGGTGACATTGTTGCTCCATTTCCGTCCTGTATATTTTGACCTGCTTGTCTTGAGAATATTTTTTACTATACAAAATTTAAACCAACGACCAAGATTGCGAACCGAATCGAGTTATTCATGAGTTACTCCAAACTTAGCTTTCTATGCTTATTTAAGAAATAAGTCAAGTAGTTGAGTTGAAAAACTGGATTGAGCTACTCAGAATTTAATTAATTTAACAAAAGATCGTTCTAACTTGCTTTTTCATAATTGTTCAATAAATCAATCAAAAACTCATGAATCACTCATTTATACGTATGTGAACCAACTAGTATATAATTTAATATATTTATATAGATTTTAAGCATAGATATACTTTTTAAAATTATTTTCTTAATACTAATAATCAAAGTTTACAGATTTAGGATTAAAAAAAAATTAAACTCTGTAGAGCCTATTCACGCTCATGAGTTTATACTCGACACAAATAGGCTTGACTCGTTTATTAATAAACCAAGCCTGATTTAGTGAAAACTCAGTAGGCTGTACCCCCTACCAACCATAACTAAATTTAACGACTTATATCTGGAAGTTAAGCTAATTCACCAGAAAAAATTAAAGTCACTATAATCCCTAGCAAAATCATTTACTCGTGATCATAAATCTCAGCTTCTATATAACCCAAAACCAGACTTTGCTTCTCCTCATGCTTGACATAGCAAAGATCATCAATTTGCTTTAAGATCTATCATATATCCAAAATGGGTTTTTCCAAGTGCTCAATCTTTGCTATTCTCTTCATTGCTATATCATTTTCAAGCATGGATGTTAACGTAGCAGCTCGTCATCTTCTGCAATTGCCTCCATTGCCTTCTGTGCCAAATTTGCCAAAAACTACATTGCCACCATTGCCTAACAATATCCCAACTCTGCCTCAGCCCACATTGCCAACCACACAACCTTCTTTCCCTAACCCAACTACACTGCCTCCACTTCCTAGCTTGCCTACTGTTCCTAAGGTCACTTTGCCTCCATTACCAAGCATGCCCTCGTTTCCTACTATTCCAAGCACCCTTCCTCCTATTCCTTTCCTTTCTCCACCTCCTGGAAACTAATTTTCTTTTTAAAATCAGACTCCAATGCCACTGAACAATACTCATTAGTTGGAAACTAAATCTTTGATATGTCATATGTCCCATTGCCTTACCTCATACGGATTTTTTTCTTTTTTTCTTTTTGTGACACATTGTGAGCTTGTCTTTCATTTACTTTTTGTGTTTTAGCATTTTTTTCCGGATATGTATTTGTTCAATATTGAAAAATGTTCATTATGTCATGCCGTAACTCTCTAACGGACTTTGAATTTCTAATTTTTTCTCTTTAGTGACACAAATGTAAGCTGCAGGCTTTACTTACATGTCAATCATACTATGTTAGAATTGTATTTAGACAATCTTCCGGATATGTATATTGTTCTGTAATGATGATGTTAATAATATCATGTAAACTAATATTTATAATTGTAATTGGACTGATAGGACTGTGACGTCATAATTTTATAATTTACATCTTGCCAAATTTAAATAAGCATTCTCCATTAAAGGCCAAACAACCAGGAAGAAAGAAAACTAACCAACAAATCTTAGTCACATAAAATCTTTAAGAGCTGAAGTTGATCACAATAGATCTCTCTTTAATAACTTGAATCACAATTAATATCACGATTCACTATCAAAAAATAAATAAAATTAATAAGCATATTCTAGAAACCCTCCACATTAGGGATAATTGAGCAATCGATTATAGAGTCCCAAGTGTATAGAATACAGACTTTAATTAATATTATTAAGTTTATTTCTTAGGCCAGCCTGTGAACATTTAGACTTCCATCTACATGACAATGCTAAATAAATTCTTAATTCGAACTGAAAAAAAATTAATTTTTATAAAGCAAAATAAGAAAAAAAAATATAAACTACCATGATAAGGACGTGGTTCTGGATCATCAATTCTTAAAAGTAAAAAATTTTGAACCCAACTACAATAAAGGTATCCTAAAAAAAAAAAGAAAAAAAAAGACGGTCTATCATCAATTCTTAAAAGTAAAAAATTGAACATATTTAAATTTTCAATACAAACGAATGCTTAAAAATGAAATATGAAAAAAATAGAATATATTCATATGGATTTTACGCTTGAATTAAATATAATAAAAAATCAATTAGAGAAGAATATAAAAGAATTGAATAAAATATAATACAAAAACAATTAGTAAAAAAATATAAATTTCTTTTAAAAGAAAAGATTTTACCTTAACATAGATAGATAACCTGTCAATTTAGTGGCAAATGCTTGTACGATTCAGTAAAATTTGAATTTTTTTTCCCGGTACTCAAAAAATAAAATAAAATAAGAAAGCCAGCCGCCCACAAGATGATATTTCTTTGCAAAATATTTAGGGTTGAATTAGAGGCCATCTTTGGATATTGGCAATATAATTAAACATCTCTCTACAACTTAATTAATAAATATTGGAGCAAATGATGCTAGCTTTCAAAAAGTATAACAAATTATTATTATTATTAATTTGGAAATTCAAATTACTGACATCATCACCCGCAAAAAATCTGGAATTGAAGAGCAAAAAACCCCTTCAATGTATAGGAAATTCAAATTCGTTTCGAAGCAATTTTTTATATGTAGTTGAAAAACAAAAAAGGAGCCATAGGAAATTGGCTTTCCAGGTAGCAGTCGATATGTTGTCTTTGAATTTCCTGTTCTTACTGATGCGGTTGCAACGATATATTGTTTGTTGCTTAGAAGGTTTTATGCAAGATGTTTTGTAAACTTTCCTCAAAAGAAAGATTTTATGGTGAAACAATTGCTTAGGACTGGAATTTTTATAATTGGAGAAATTGATGTTTTCCTTTTCAATTTGTTGGGGATTAACCTTTTGTTAGTACTTCGTAATGTTTGGTCTTCAAATTTGCGAAAACATTTGAAATTAGTTAGATTTCACCGAGTCAAATTGGTCTTTATAAGATATCAAATACCAATCCTATTTTTAAATTCAATTTGCTAAATATTTTCTTGTTAATCCCTTTAATAATTCATGGCAAATCACTTTTTTTTTTATTCATGGCAATGGTAAGTGTATAGTAATTCAAAAGGAAAATAAGAATCAAGAGTCTAAATTTATTGCAAAGTGGGTAAAAAAAATACAACACTCCAAACCATAAAAATACGGGTAAGACTCCAAACCATAGTCTATAGTATGTAACACCTACGCAAGAACAATCTGAAATCTGAACAACAAACAAATGATAAACATCCAAGACAAATTCCTATCATAGACAATATATGACGAGACTATATCAAGTTCGTAAAATCCAAGGACATAAATAGAATAATAGTAATACTAGCATTTAAGGACTAGTAGTTGACTGAGGTGGTTTAACGTCCTTGGGAAGAGTTGGAATGGTAGGCAATGCAGGCTTCGGTACTTCAGGCAATTTGGGCACTTCAGGCTTTGGTAATTCAGGCATTTTGGGCAGTTCAGGTTTCGGTAGTTCAGGAATTTTGGATAGTTCAGGCTTTGGCAATTCAGGAAATTTGGGAAGTTCAGGTTTTTGCAATTCAGGCATTTTGGGCACTTCAGGCTTCGGTAGTTCAGGCATTTTGGGCAGTTCAGGTTTGGGCAATTCAGGTATTTTGGGCAGTTCAGGTTTCGGTAGTTCAGGAATTTTGGGTAGTTCGGGCTTTGGCAGTTCAGGCAACTTGGGCAGTTCGGGTTTTTGCAATTCAGGCATTTTGGGCACTTCAGGCTTTGGTAGTTCAGGCATTTTAGGCAATTCGGACATTTTGGATAGTTCGGGCTTGGGCAGTTCGGGCATTTTGGGCACTTCAGGCTTTGGTAGTTCATGTTTGGGCAATTCAGGCGTTTTGGGAACTTCAGGTTTGGGCACTTCAGGCTTTGGTAGTTCTGGTTTGGGCAGTTCAGGCGTTTTGGGAACTTCAGGTTTGGGCACTTCAGGCTTTGGTAGTTCTGGTTTGGGCAGTTCAGGCGTTTTGGGAACTAGTTTGGGCAGTTCAGGCGTTTGGGGAACTTCAGGATTTGGGCAGTTTCGGTGTTTTGGGCACTTCAGGCTTGGTAGTTTCCAGTTCAGGCGTTTTGGGCACTTCAGGCTTTGGTAGTTCAGGTTTGGGCAGTTCAGGCGTTTTGGGAACTTCAGGTTTGGGCAGTTCAGGTGTTTTGGGCACTTCAGGCTTTGGTAGTTCAGGTTTGGGCAGTTCAGGCGTTTTGGGAACTTCAGGTTTGGACAGTTCAGGCGTTTTGGGCACTTCAGGCTTTGGTAGTTCAGGTTTGGGCAGTTCAGGCATTTTGGGAACTTCAGGTTTTGGCAGTTCAGGCGTTTTGGGCACTTCAGGCTTTGGTAGTTCAGGTTTGGGGAGTTCAGGCGTTTTGGGAACTTCAGGTTTGGGCAGTTCAGGCGTTTTGGGAACTTCAGGTTTTTGTAGTTCGGGCATTTTGGGGAATTCAGGTTTGGACAGTTCATGCATTTTGGACAATTCAGGTTTTGGTAGTTCAGGTACTTTGGGCAATTCGTGCTTCGGCAATTCAGGCAACTTGGGCAATTCGGGTTTTGGCAGTTCAGGCAACTTGGGCACTTCAGGTTTTGGCAATTCAGGCAACTTCGGCAAGGTTGGGACTTTTGGAAGCTCAACCTTTGGTAATGGTGGCAGCTCAGGCTTAGGAAGCTCAATATCTAGAAGACGACGCCCCTCTACCTGGATTGATAAGGGGACTAGCAAGAGCAGAAATACAAAGAATGGAAAGTGGAGACACTCCATATTGGGAAATCTAAAAAATATCTATCTGATATACTTCAAAAGATGAGTAATTAACTCTTGTTATATTGGGCTTTTATAGATGTGGGAAAAGGTGTTTGAAGAGTGATTAGTTGGGAAATTAAGCTTATTGTGTTTTTGGTAGTTCAACTTCTTTCACCTATAATACTTCCAAATAAGCATGACAACTGTTAGCTTTTCTGACGTTGAGCGTTCTTGTCTTTCTCATTCTTTTTTCTTGAAGATTATTACTTGTAATCACGACATGTGTCCACTGTAAATAATTTAGTCATCAAAACAGGAACATAATTCAAACGTTGCTTGTTCCATCTTCAACTATGAAACCCTTACCGTTGATCTTTCTTTGTTTAGGTAGATAAATTAATAAATAAAATTTTTCTAAGAATAATTCTGCAAATGCTTATATATTCTCACCAACTTCTGACTAGTTGGGCCAACCTAGCTTTTCTTATTCTAGCTTTATCCTTCTTGTCTGATTTTGCATTAATGACAATAGTTTAGTTGCTAGATGTTTCTAGAATTAGACCAGCGAATAATTGAACCAATTAATATACTAATCATTTTATTAGTTTGATTGGTTCAACTAGTTTAATTCAATTAAAAAATAATAACTCAAACATAATTTAAAATTTTAAAAATATCTACTATATTATTTTTTAAGATTAAGCATAGAAAATAAAACATTGTGATTGATGCTGTTTATAGAGACATAGGTTGCATTGATCGGACATAAGCAATGGAACACGATATAACACAGACACGATACATATAAATTTTCAAAAAAGTAGAACGTAATACACTCAGAACAATAAGTAAATAATCGTTCACAATAAATATAATTTATTTAGAAATTTAAATAAGTAAATCATAAACATAAAATAAATAAAAAATAATTTTCAACTTTAATATTATTAATTAAATCATCAATATAAACATCATCGTTAAAAATCACTATCCTCATCTTTAGATGATCTCTAGCTCATCTAAAGATAAATTGACAATTTCAAAAATTTCAATATATATAAAAAAGCCAGATTGATCCCATGTAATGACCAACATTTTAAGGTTTCTTCCTTCTTCTATATATATGGTGTAAATTTGATGATAAAATTATAAATTTTACATAATGATTTAGGGGTTTTCCTTCTTTTTATACATGTTTTGATTTTCAATTTCAGGTGTGCATCATTATCTAAATTAATATTTAAGATCTTGATTTAAAAATTTTATTAATAAACTTATCTAAAAGTTCTATAAAATTTTTATGCATTCCTAGAGTAATCTTGAAGTGTTCTGTAATTGCCAAAATTAGTAAAATTAAAAAAAAATAATCAGATATGTCTAAAGTGTCCAACACACATAGACGAGAGTATCAAGAGGGATCACTGTCCAATGCGAATATCTTAAACCTTTTTAAGGTTTACATCTCACAAGGTTCACAACTTGGTCCAGGTCTATTAGTGTAAGGATAGAGGATACACAGACTTGTTTCTTGATTCAAAATATTGCTGAGAACATAAAAATATTCCAAGAAATATAAAACAAAGAAAGACAGCAACCAGAAGAGTACGACAACAATATAAAGAATTAGGAAAAGTAATTAAAGTATTATCATTTCATTTATACCATATGAATAGCTGAAACAATTTCTTGTATAGAAAATTAACTGAGAACATACATAATCTGTAACTTAAACCAAAAATAAGTACAAAAAAAATACAAACTTTAAACAGAAAAAACACATAGGATAATTTAAGTATGTATACAATACATAAATAATTGGACTCTCAAGATGAGACGCTCGGACTCAAATATAGCAGATCATAAATCAAAGCTTGTAGCGTAGATGATATGGTGTTTAAGGACTACTGGTTGACTGAGGTGGTTTGATGTCCTTGGGAAGAGTTGGTATAGTAGGAAATGTAGGCTTTGGCAACACAGGCAAGTGTGGAAATGATGGCAACTCAGGCTTTGGCAATTCTGGCAATTTTGGCACTTCAGGCTTTGGCAATTCAGGAATTTCAGGCAGTTTAGGCTTTGGCAATTCAGGAAATTTCGGAGCTTCAAGCTTTGGTAACTCATGCAAGTGGGGAGCTGATGGCAGCTCAGGCTTTGGCAATTCTGGCAATTTTGGCAGTTCAGGCTTTGGTAATTCAGGAATTTCAGGCAGTTCAGGCTTTGGAAATTCAGGGATTTTGGGCAGTTCAGGCTTTGGCAATTCAGGAAATTTCGGAACTTCAAGCTTTGGCAACTCAGGCAATTCAGGCTTAGGAAGCTCAGGTATCTCTGACAATGTTGTCTCTAAAAGATGTCGAGCCTCTATACAAATTGACAAGGTGATTAGCAAGAGCAGAATAATGAAGGAAGGAGAGCGAAGATTGGCCATAACTTGCAACAGATAACAAAAATATGTAGTAAATTTCTCGTCACTTCTGTTGTGTGTTGTGCTGATTTTCACTTCTGCTGGGCATTTATAGAAGTGGGAAATGGAGAATGGAAAAGTTTCAGGGCTGACTTGGCAGGAAAGCTTGTGTCTTGGCAGTTCAACTTCTCACCTATGCACTTTCTTACTAATCTTTGTACTATATTTTACATTATCTTTATATATTATTATTGTTTCTTGAGATTAGTTGGAATGCTTCATAGCTTTGGATGGTAAACTAATGAAGAACTATACAAGTCCATTAATTAAATAAAACATAAAAAATGAAACTTGTCTTCAGCTAAAAGACTAATTGAACCCAAAGAATATAGTTCTTAACTATAATCAGTCTCCAGGAATTTAACCTATCTCATACAAATTTCCAATCAGATTCTGTGTTATGAGACAAACACTCATTGAATAAGGCTGCTAACTGAATACTGAAAGTAACTAAATTTTATAACTCACTCTGCCTCAACAAAATATAAGTTGCATACGTCTATCTGGCATCAAAAAATATTTTTTGTACTTTATCAGATTGATTCTTCTTTTCTTGCCTAATCATTCTTCTCCTAGCTTTGTCCTTCTTGTTTTCTTGAATTTCAATGATTTTGCACTATTATACTACTCCACTTGCTAGATGTTCTTATAATTAGACCTACTAACCAGTTTATCGGTTTGATTGGTTCAACCAGTTAAATTCAATCAAAACTACTCAGATAAAATTTTGAAAATTAAAAAGATCAAACTGTATTAGATTTTATAAGATTAAAAATTGAAAATAAACCAGATTTTAAGACGACAAAAACCAGAATTATTGATTCAACATATTGCTGAGATCATTGAAATATTCCAAGAAATAAACTAAAGAAAGAAAACAAATCAGAAGACTATGGCAGCAAGCTAAACAAAATCTGCAGGAAACAGAAACAATACCTAGTGAATAATGAAGCTGAATGGCTAAAAAGAAAATACTGGTACAAGATCAACATAAAAATACTCCTAACTAGATTAAGAGGCCTTTTTAAGATCAGAGGAGGCTATAAGGATGTGTCATGTCTCTTTTCCAATTAATTGTTTGCTATTGTCGGCATCGAGTAGCTTTCTATAGATAGTAAATACATGCATTTCCAGCTAAATTTTGGACTGCGATTAGACTTTTCTTTCTTGTTTACTAGCTCAAAAACCTAATTATTCTATTGTGTAATCCAATTCCAATAACCAATATAAACAATATGAAGAGGTGAAGTATAACATCTCATTGATATCAAATAAATAAGCTGAAACAATTTCTTACATTGAAAATTAACTAAAAACATAAAAAATGTGAAGCTAAACCAAAAATAAATAGAAAATACAATCTTTGAACAGAATCAACACGTAATACAATTTAATTATGTATAAAATACATAATCAGACTCTCAAGAAGAAACGCTCTGACTCCAATATAGCAGATTATAAATCAAAGCTTGTAGAATATGTAGTATGTTGTTTAAGGACTAGTAGTTGTCTGAGGTGGTTTGAAGTCCTCAGGAAGAGTTGGTACAGCAGGAAATGTAGGCTTTGGCATCTCAGGCAAGTGGGGAAACGATGGCAGTTCAGGCTTTGGCAACTCTGGCAATTTTGGCACTTCAAGCTTTGGCAATTCAGGAATTTCAGGCTTTGGCAATTCAGGAATTTTGGGCACGTCAGGTTTTGGCAATTCAGGAAATTCAGGAACAGCAGGCTTTGGCAATTCAGGAAATTTAGGCACTTCAAGCTTTGGCAACTCAGGCAGTTCAGGCTTAGGAAGCTCAGGTATCTCTGGCAACATTGTTTCTAAAAGATGTCGAGCTTCTGCAAGAATTGACAGGGTGATTAGCAAGAGCAGCATAGTGAAGGATGGAGAGTGAAGATTAGCCATAATTTCAAGCAGATGACAGAAATGACTTTGAAAGATATGAGACTAGTATCTATTTCAAGAATAAGTACTAAGTTTCTCGTCACTTTTGTTGTGTGAGTTGTGTGATTTTCACTTGTGTTGGGCTTTTATAGAAGTCGGAAGTGGAGAATGGGATAGCTTCGAGGCTGACTTGGTAGGAAAGCTTTTGTCTTGATAGTTCAACTTCTCACCTGTTACACTTAAAAGCTAACAATCTTAGTATTGTAATATTAACTTATCTTTATAAGTTATCGTTGCTTCTTGAGATTAGTTGGAAGACTTCATAGCTTTGGAAGGTAAACTAAATGAAGAACTAGACAGGTCCATAATTATAAAAATAAAAAAAAAATAAAAATAAAACAAAAAATGAAACATATTTCAGCTACAAGGACTAATTGAACCCTATTGCCTGTTTGTTATTCTCTAGATGAAGGAACATAGTTCTTAACTATAGTATCAGGAATTTTACCTATCTCATGGCATCTGGTTTAAACCAGAATGAAACCTTGTGTTGATTGGTTATTCAGACTCAGACAGGTCTGGAAGCATTGATGATATGAAAAGTTCAATCACGTATATATTCCTTTTTGGTTCAGGAGTATTTAATGAACTCAAAGAAGCAAGATGTGATTTTTTAATCCTCTGCTGAGGCATAATACATTGTGACTAATTAATACTGCTAGTTAATTAATTGGTATGAGAATTTGGTTTTCATACATCTTACTATATATAGGTGCATGTGTTTTCTGTTGTCTCCCTGTTCCAAATAGCTCCAACATGTCAATGATGAAATAAAAGAAGTTCCTATTTATCTATTCTGATTTAGCGAACAAAGACTGTTAAGGGTGCCTCTTCAACTTTTCATTTGATACCAATTACATTTGACCAAGTAGCACTATAGTTGTCTCCAAGGCTGTAATGTTGCAACTAGTCAAAGCCTCATTAATTTTAGAAAAAGAAGAATTTTCTGCAAATGGTTCCAGTTATCCATTTCAATCAAGCGTGTGTTTAAATCTCGCCAAGATTGACGACTTAGTCCAGGTCCATTAGTTTATACACGGGACTAGTTTTCTTGATTCAAATATTACTGAAATCATAAGAAAAACGGTAATTAGAAGACGACGACAGCAACCTAGATAAAATCTGCAGGAAACAAAGCAATACTTAATCGACAAGGAAGCTGAATGGATAAAAGAAAATGCTGATAAAAGATCAACATAAAATACTCCTAGACAGCATTAAAAAGACAATTAGATGTCCTTAAGTTACATTAAGAGGCATTTTTAAGATCAGGAGAGGCTTTGAGGATGTGTCATGTCTCTTTGCCGACCAATTGTTTACTACTGTCAGCATCAGGTGGCTTTTTTTCTTTTCCTGATAACGTACCCTCTAAAGCCCACTTAATCCATTGTATAACGGAATTACAATAACCAAAGTACAAAATATGAAAAGTATAATATCTCATTGAGACCACAAGAAGAAGCCGAAATAATTCTATATATAGCAAATTAACTCAAAACATACATAATGTGTAGGTTAAACCGAAAATAAATAGAAATGCAAACTTTGAATAGAATTGATACATAGTACAATTTAAGTATGTATACAATACATAATCAGACTGTCAACAAGAAACACTCGACTCAAATATAGCAGATCACAAATCAAAGCTTGTATCATAGATGGTATGTTTGTTTAAGGACTAGTAGTTGACTGAGGTGGTTTGATTTCCTCGGGAAGAGTTGGTATAGTAGGCAATGTAGGCTTTGGCAACTCAGGCAAGTGGGGAAAAGATGGCAGTTCAGGCTTTGGCAATTCAGGAACTTCAGGCACTTCAGGTTTTGGCAATTCGGGAATTTCAGGCACTTCAAGTTTTGGCAATTCTGGAATTTCAGGCTTTGGTAATTCAGGAATTTTTGGCAGCTCGGGAAATTTAGGCACTTCAAGCTTTGGCAACTCGGGCAATTCAGGCTTTGGTAATTCAGGAATTTTGGGCAACTCAGGAAATTTAGGCACTTCAAGCTTTGGCAACTCAGGCAATTCAGGCTTAGGAAGCTCAGGTATCTCTGGCAATGTTGTCTCTAAAAGATGACGAGACTCTACATGAATAGACAAGGTGATTAGCAAGAGCATAATAATGAAGGAAGGACAGCAAAGATTGGCCATATTTGCAGCAGGTGACAAAAATGATTTTGAATTTACTTCAAAAATAGGTACTAAGTTTCTCTTGTCACTTTTGTTGTATGTTGTGCTGATTTTCACTTCTGCTGGGCTTTTATAGAAGTGAGAAGTGGAGAATGGCAAAGTTTCAAGGCCGACTTGGCAGGAAAGCTTGTGTCTTGGTAGTTCAACTTCTCAACTATGACCCTTCCTTAAAATTAATAATCTTTTTGTTATAATATAACATTATCTTTGTAAGTTGTTGTTTCTTGATCAAGATTAGTTGGAATGTTTCATAGCTTTGGATGGTAAACTAAATGAAGAACTAGACATGTCCATTAATTAAATAAAACAGAACAAATGAAACAAATGTCATCAAAAAGACTAAACAGAATATAGTTCCCAACAATAATTAGCCTCAGGAATTTTGCATACCCTTTTACCTGATGCATCCTTAAACTTTTTATTTTTTAAAAAATTACACTATTTGCATAGCTTATTAATAGATTTCCATAGATAAGTTTGGTCCCTAATCACCAAGATAAGTTCGGTTCCTAATCACCAAAAGGGATATCCAAATGGTCCAACAGGTCAAAAACAAAAGTTCAGGGGAGCAATAGACTTTTCTACACAATGTAATGTAATGGTGAATTTAATAATTACCCCCTTCAACTTTTGTTTATGATACCAATGACATTTGGCCAAGTGGCAATATGCTGTAAATTGCAAATCCAAAAACCTAATTAATTAAAAAAAATGAAACTTCTTATGATTTTGCTTGTCCATTTCATCCAAGTATGTGTTTACATCTCAACAGCTTGGTCCAGGTCCATTACTGTAAGTATAAGACTACACAGACTTGTTTTTTTTATTCAAAATATTTCTCACATCATAAAAACATTGCAAGAAATATAAAATAAAGAAAAACAGCAAATCAGAAGACTGACAAAAGCCTGAAACAAAATCAGAAAACAAAAGCAATACTTAATTAACAATGGAGCTGAATGTCTGATATAAAATCAACATGAAAATTACTCCTACAACTAGATTAGTACTCCTTTTTCTAAACCCCATCTAGATACTCTTACATTAAGAGGCTTTTTGAGTTCAGGAGAGGCTATAAGGATGTGTAATGTCTCTTTTCCGACGAATTGTTTGTTGCTATACTGCCAGCATCAGGTAGGATTTCATAGACAATATAAGAATTTCAATCGAAGTTTTAGAATGTGATTGGCCGTCTTTTTCTTGTCCTCTAAAGGCTATTTATTCCATTGTGTAATCTTCCAATAACAAATATAAAAAATACAAAAAGTAAAGTATAACATCTCATTTATACCATATGAATAAGCTGAAATAATTTCTTATACAGCAAATTAACTCAAAGCATACATAATGTGTAACTTAAAACAAAATAAGTAGAAAATACAAACTTTGAACTGAACCAACACATAGTACAATTTAAGAATGTGTACAATACATAATTAGACTCTCAAGAAAAAACACTGACTCAAATATAGCCAATCATAAATCGAAGCTTATATAGCATGGATGGTATAGTTTAAGGACTAGTAGTTGACTGTGGTGGTTTAATTTCCTCTGGAACAGTTGGTATAGTAGGAAATGTAGGCTTTGGCAACTCAGGCAAGCGGGGAAATGATGGCAGTTCAGGCTTCGGCAATTCTGGCAATTTTGGCAGTTCAGGCTTCGGCAATTCTGGCAATTTTGGCAGTTCAGGCTTCGGCAATTCTGGCAATTTTGGCAGTTCAGGCTTCGGCAATTCTGGCAATTTTGGCAGTTCAGGCTTCGGCAATTCTGGCAAGCCACTGATGGTGAGCTTTAAATTTCTCTCATAGTGGATACATGTATTGAAGTGTGCTATATTGCTATCACACCGGTTACAAGGGAATTGTTAGTGCACTATTGGCAACTCTAAGAGCAATCGGGGTAAAACATGATCGCGAAGTTCAGGTTCTGTCAAAAGACGTCATTATTCTCGGCTAATTTTGGATCAAGTTTTAACATGGCTATAACTAGAGACAAATCTCAATTTGGGCAATTTTGGCAGTTCAGGCCCTCCTTGGACATTCAGCGCCAATTTTCGGGCAGTTCAAGACTTTGGCCAAAATCAGGGAAAATTTGAAGGCAGGCAGTTCAGGCTTCGGCAATTCTGGCAATTTTGGCAGTTCAGGCTTCGGCAATTCTGGCAATTTTGGCAGTTCAGGCTTTGGCAATTCAGGAATTTCGGGCAGTTCAAGCTTTGGCAATTCAGGAATTTTGGGCACTTCAGGAAATTCAGGAAATTTAGGCACTTCAAGCTTTGGCAACTCAGGCAACTCTGGCTTAGGAAGCTCAGGTATATCTGGCAATGTTATTTCCAAAAGACGTCGAGCATCAACACAAATTGACAGGGCGATTAGCAAGAGCAGAATAATGAAAGAGGGAGAGCAAGGATTGGCCATAATTCCAAGCAAATGTCAAAAATGACTTGGAAAGATACCAGACTAGTATCTACTTCAAAAATAGGTAGTAAGTTTCTCCTTTCACTTTTGTCTTCTGTTATGCTAATTTTCACATCTGTTGGCCATTTATAGAAGTGGGAAGTGGAGCATAAGAGGGATCAAGGCTGCTTTGGTAGGAAAGCTTGTGTCTTGGTAGTTCAACTTATCACCAATGACACTTCCTTAAAAGTAAATAATCTTTATATTATGATATTGCATTATCTATAATTGTTGTTTCTTGAGATTAGCTGGAAGGCATTATAGCTTTGGATGGTAAAACCTAGACATGTCCATTAATTAAATAAACACAACATGAAACATATGATTCAGCTAAAAGACTAATTGAACCCTATTGCCTGTTTGTTATTCTCTAAATGAAAGAACTTTTTTTTTTTCCTGTTACATCTAAATGAAAGAATTTAGTTCTACTATAATTAGTTTCAGGAATTTTACCAATCTCATAAAGCTATATATATAATTGCATCCTTAAAACTTTTTATCTTTGCTAACAAAAGCTCATTAATAGATAATATGATGAATATGTAATTTGAAATCTTATATCTTTTTAATTATTTTAATTTATATACAATTGTTTGTATATAAAAGGGAAATTTAAAAGGGAAATTCATATGATGAGTTTGCTTCTAAATTACAAAAGGGAAATTCAAAGGGTCAAACAGGCCTAATCGAAACCTAATTTATTCAAAGGGTTGTAAGGTTGCAAACTCAAACCCTAATCAAAGCCTAATTACAAAAAAGAAGAAGAGGAAATTTTTTTTGATGGTTTCTCTTGTCCATTTCAACCAAGCATTTGTTGTATCTCAACAAGGTTCACAACTTGGTCCAGGTCCATTAGTGTATGGATAAAACCACACAGACTTGTTTTCTTTATTGAAAAATATTGCTGAAATCATAAAAATGTTCCAGGAAATATAAAACAAAGAAAAAACAGAAAATCAGAAGACTATGAACCCAAAACAAAATCTGCAGAAAACAAAGGCAATACTTAATGAGCGTTGAAGCTGAATGGCTAAAAAGAAAATACTGATACAAGATCAACACAAATTTCTGGAAAGCATTAGATTAGTATTTTATTTTTAAACCCCATTTGGATATCCTTATGTTATATTAAGAGGCCTTTTTAATATCAGGACAGGCTATAAGGATGTGTCATGTCTCTTTTCCGACCAAGTGTTTACTACTGTAAGCATTGGGTAGCTAACCAAAGTTTTGTTTCTTTCTTCATTACTTTTTAAAGCCTATTTATTCCATTGTGTAATCGAGTTTAAGTAAGAAAAATAAAAAATACGAAAAGTAAAGTATAACATCTCAATTATGCAAAATGAATAAGCTGAAACAATTTCTTATATAGCAAATCAATTCAGAACATTACATAATGTGCAACGTCAACCAAAAATAATTAGAAAATACAAATTTTGAACAGAACCAACACATAGAACAGTTTAAGTATGTATACAGTACATAAATAATCAGACTCTCAAGAAGAACACTCAAACCGAAATACAGCAGATCATAAATCAATGCTTATAGAATATGTGGTACTGTTGTTTAAGGACTAGTAGTTGACTGAGGTGGTTTGATTTCCTCGGGAACAGTTGGTATAGTAGGAAATGTAGGCTTTGGAAACTCAGGCAAGTGGGGAAAAGATGGCAGTTCAGGCTTTGGCAATTCTGGCAATTTTGGCAGTTCAGGTTTTGGCAATACAGGAATTTCAGGCAGTGCAGGTTTTGGCAACTCAGGCAAGTGGGGAAAAAATGGCAGTTCTGGCAATTTTGGCACTTCAGGCTTTGGCAATTCAGGAACTTCAGGCTTGGGCAATTCAGGAACTTCAGGCTTTGGCAATTCAGGAACTTCAGGCTTTGGCAATTCAGGAACTTCATGCTTTGGCAATTCAGGAACTTCAGGCTTTGGTAATTCAGGAACTTCAGGCTTTGGCAATTCAGGAACTTCATGCTTTGGCAATTCAGGAACTTCAGGCTTTGGTAATTCAGGAAATTTAGGCACTTCAAGCCCTGGTAACTCAGGCTTAGGAAGCTCAGGTATCTCTGGCAACGTTATTTCCAAAAGATGTCGAGCATCTACACCAATTGACAGGGTGATTAGCAAGAGCAGCATAATGAAAGATGGAGAGCGAAGATTAGACATAATGTGGAGCAGATGACAAAATAACTTTGAAATTATAAGCAGTAAATTTATTGTCACTTCTGTTGTGTGTTGTGTTTGATTTTCACCTGTGTTGGCTTTTATAGAAGTGGGAAGTGGAAAATGGGAAAGTTTCAAGGCTGAATTGGTAGGAAGCTTGTGTCTTGGTAGCTCAACTCCTCACCTATATGTGACACTTCCTTAAAGTTAATAATCTTTGTAATATAATATTAGATTATCTTTGTAACACTTGCCTAAATTTTTACGTCTTTTTAAATATTTAATTGATATATGATTGTTTATTTTATCCCCCCATTTGATAAGTTTGCTTCTAAATTGCAAAAAAGGGAAATCCAAAGGCTCCAATATTTCAAAACGCAGAAGTTCGGAGCAGCAATAGACTTTTCTGAATAATTTAGGGGTAAATTTATGTATTTATGTATTAGATCAATCTAATAATTCACTCTTGATTGTTCTATATTGCAAAGATATATACTAATCTGAAAAAAGATGTTTTCTTTAGGTACATTAAAATGTTCTAGATTACATTTCCAATCAGATTCTGCATTATGAGACAAACACTAAACTAATAAATTAAGCTATTAGCTAAAACTGAAAGTGATTAAATTTTATAATTCAGCAAAATATATATTGCTATATCTTTCTGGCACCAAACATTATAGTAGCTTTTAGTGTTTTAAGGAACAATGTCTAAACTCTTTAATTCTTCTCCATTTTCGGAAAAGCTAGTTCATTGATCCCATTATCAGTTATCATGAACAGTTAAACCAAACAGACTCTAAATCAAAGTGGGTGACTAGATTTCAGCCATCCAAAGAATACTGGTGGAGATGGGTGCAACACTAACCTAAGGCATAAATTACTCGAAGACTGCTGGGTTACTGATAAATTATTAGCAATATAAATATATTACTATTTCACTCTAAACCCCACTTAGATGACAATTCTTTATGAGATTATTCTCTGGAATCAGCTCTCTAGTTTTGCAAATTTCCAAAATTAAATAACTTAGCTCACTTGTCCAAATAACTTATAATTTTTAAGTATCTCTGCTATTCGTGATCATACTTCCTCTGATAAAGCTGAAATTATTATCCCCACATAATAAAATCTTATGGTATTTAGTAATAAATGAGAAAGCACACTTAAAAATATATCAATATTATTACAGATTCAACATGAAGTTAAGAACCACGGGTACAGTGACTGTACTATCAATTGTAGTTGTAACTGAAAGACATGATAGTATAAAAACACAACAAACTCTCCAACAGAGCAACTCTCAAGTAGAAAGAAGGTAAACACTAAACAGCAATGCAGTAGCAAGAACTAGGCCTTAAAGAAGCATGAGAAGGTACAGCCTTTTTAAGGACTAGTAGTTGAATGAAAAGAATTAATGTCCTCAGGAGTAGTTGGTTTTGCAGGTATTGTTGGTTTAGCCAGCTCAGGTATTCCAGGAAGAGATGACAAGTCAGGTAATTCTGGTTCTGGCACTTCGAGCCCTGGCAAATCTGGCAATTCTGGTAGTAGTGGCAGTTCAACTTTAGGAAAAGATGGCAGCTCGGGCAATTCAGGTTTAGGAAGCTCAGGTATTTCTGGCAATGTTATTTCCAGAAGCTGGCGTGCATCGGTGTTCAGCAATGACATACTGATAAACAGAAGTGGCAAAAAGAAAGACAAGAAATGCTTATAAGCCATGTTTGGAGTGACTAATGAAATGTTATAGCAACTGTGAATTCTGTAAAATCTGTTTTCTCCATTGGTTCTTATGTCCCAAGGGGGTTTTATAGATGTGGAAGATTGGAAGGCAAGGAGAGAATACTAGGTTAACTCGGTAGGAAAGACTGTATTAGCAGTTCACTACTTATCTATGATAGTTATAGAAAATCATTCAAAATACAAGATTTCTCTAATCCAAGATCTTTCCAATTCTTTTGAACTTCTTTTTTTCCCCAGCAATTCACTCTTTCTTGTTCTAGCTTCAAAGATTAGATTCAAAATAATAGTTTTCCTGTAGAAAATACTCAAAATAGGCTAATCTACCATCAAATTCAGCATATTATTTTTTTCTTCTTGCCTACTCACTTTTCCCTGTGCTGCAAGTTATTTTGGATTTATCTAAATTCATATTTTGATATGACAATTTAACATCTTCACTGACGTGTATTTCCAGAAAAAGAATAAGTACATTGCAAAACAGATGGACACAGCAGCAATCAACACAAAACATATAGGCAAAAAAAAAGTCCCTTGGATCCTACATTGGAAGTATGAGATTTTAATGTGGGATTTATATGAACTTGGGCTCTCCCAATTGCATTCGAGCGACCGTAGACGAGCGAATCCACATTAACATCCTCCCCAAGTCCCCATTCTGTTTTACTGTTAAAATTAAAGCTTTCAGATCAAACTAACTTTCAGTACTTAAATGGACTATTTAGTCTTGTCTTTTACTCATCCACGCAAGTACAAAACAAGCTAAAAAGACATATATCTGCCAGAAACTGTAACTGCAAATTATTTTATTTGAAGGTAAGAGTTTTACAATAACGTGGAAGTTCAACAGAACATGAAACATACAATTACAACACACAAATGATAAGGTAGTTATTCACTTGATTCGAGTGAATAACATTAGTAGACAGGTGTTTTGATATTTCTATACATAAAACACAAATCAGAAGTTTAAAAACATAATAATACAACAAACAAAGCAAGGCAGGATTTAGCACCAAAATGTCTGGTTTTTCACTGCAATTTTGCCATTCTGCTCCTTCAACTTGCTTCCCTTGTAATCCAGCGTCCATTTCTCAAATGTAAAGTCAACAAAGTCATAATAGCCACCATGAATAGAGAGTTCCCCATTTCTCACCTTTTCTTCTATCCATGGGTAAGTGAGGAGATTCCCCAATGAACAGTTGACCGATTCCTGTTGAAAAGATTTTTAGGAAACAAATTGTTCAACAACTTTCAAGGAAAAGGTTAATGCATCATTGTACAATTTTAGGCCATGTCTAATCAATTAAATCCCTACCCACCCGCTGCTTTGCATACTGGCCTTTTTTTTTTTTTTTTTTTTATAGCTGAGAGATCTCCCCAATGAAACAGTATCGACTCCGATCCTGTTGAAAAAGATTTTAGAAACAAATTGTTACAACAACTTTCAAGGAAAAGGTTTATATGCAAATCAGGTGCTGTCACCAATTTTAGGCCGATGTCTAAGTTCAATTAAATCCCTACCCACCCGCTGCTTTGCATACGGTGCCTTTTTTTTACTTTTTTTTGTTTGAGACGCTTTATTACTAGCATGAGGTTGCAAGTTTCACCGACTTAGCCACTATTAAAGCATAAATGAGGCATAAGGAGAAAAAATACCCCACATAGTGACATGTCCACCGATTCTAATCAGCAAGCACGAATGCCAACAGCAGGATACCAGAACAAGGATTATGTGCCCAACTAAACCCAGATCAGTCACCCACCCACAAAAGACAAAACCATGTGAGATGTCACTGCCTGGATACACCAACGTAGGCCCGACAAAAACTATTGAGGCCCATTCTGAACCCTAAGGGAAAAATTTTTTTTTTTTTTTTTTTTGAGACGCTTTTATTACTAGCATGAGTTCAAAGTTTCCAATTTCACATATAAGATAAATGAGATAAACGAAAAAACCCATATGTGACTGTCACCATTCTACAGCAAAGATGGCCAAAGCAGGATACCAGAAAAAGGATTAGTCTAACTAAACCCAGAATCCAGTCACCACAAACAAAACATGGAGATGTATGCTGGATCAAGTAGCCGACAAAAACTTGACCATTCTGAACCCTAAGGGAAAAAACATATATATCACCTTCTCACAGTGTCTGCACTGCCGGTCAAAGCTGAGATTAGAAACAGCAGCCTTGGTTATCAACCTTGCATTCATCCCAACAGACACCCAACTTCCAATAAAGCTACTGAAGATAGGGATAAATGAAACCAAAAAAATAAAAAAATTTACATGTGAGAAACATAACATAAAGCTTATTGTTTTCAAGAATTGAGGTGATGATAACAAGAAGCAACCAAATACGTCATTGACAGGACCTTGTTTCTACATCATCATGCATACTCATTAGGGCACGAATCCCTCCACAGCAGCTGTGGCCAATAACTAAAATGTTTTCAACCTGCAAAAGGAATTATCTATTATTTTTCCAAATAAGATAAGATATAATATCAAAGGCTTAACTATTATTATTGTTCATGTTTCCTATTTCAAAGCAAAAGTTAGAGCATACATGACATTTCCATGTAATACTTGCCAATTTTTGACAGAAAACTCAATAATTTCCTGCTTGATTTGCTTCATCCACACTCCATTGGATACAATAGAACCATTTCTGACTTAAGCCAAATTTATGTGGCAATAAGTAATCATCTTTGCTTTAATTTTAGCTACCCTATGCATTCAGGGAATTTACAATTACCCTGGTACTAAAGAGATATGTAATGAATCATTGCAAAAACAGATACCGGCCACATGGGAAATGGGGGATGGGGAGGAAGCCTAGATTTTAGCATAACTTACTTTAAGAGAATTTACAGCAAATTCAAGTGCAGCATTTGTTTCTGATGGTCCACTCTGCATAAACAAAAACATGGTTAAAGAATAAAATGAAAGATGCCAAAAGATAAATATTTTATTAATGTTTTTAACAGTTCACATCATACATCAAAGATAAAAGTTCGGAAAATGTGATGCATACCTCATATGAAGGCACCATATTTGCAACATTTCTAACCACAAATGCTTCTCCTGGTTGGAATCCCAGTATGTTCGATGGGCAAACCCTGGAGTCTGCACAAGCAATTACCATAAACTGCCCTTGAAATTGTCAGTCAATTTTATGTTGGCCAACAGAGCAACAGCCAATTGCAGTAAAATCCATAGAAGGCATATAAAAAATAAGTGTAGTGAACAAGAATAAATTGTTGATTAATAACCTAGAAAAGCCATTATTTATTACCTTTGGTGCTTGACTCTTGGCAAGGTTTTCAAAATGTTCAATGTTTTGCCTGTTAAAAAATGAATGTCCTATTAAAAGGCCAGCGTAATCTTTCAAGAAAGGCAACCGATATCATGCCACTCAACACTTACATGTATTTATGCTTTTTAAAACTTATAAAACGCTGTTTCAACTCATCAAATAAATCAGAATCTTTTTTAGTTACTGCAGGCCTCTCCAATTTGTCACTTTTAAGTTCAGTGGTCATTGCTGGAGAGTCCCTTGAAGCCTTCAACTTCAGATCTGAATCACTGAAAAGGTTGGAAGCAGATGTTTGTTACAGAATAAATAAATGTTCCGGTAAAGTCAAGCTCAGAGAAGCACACAGCTTATAATTTACATCAGATGAGAGACATGAACTACACAATCCCAGATATATCATCATGGTTATCATCGACATTTTCCTAAAAATGATTCAAAATAAACTCAGAAAATGCCAGGCACCAAATCTTAGTTTCGCACTCCATTCATTTCAATAGCAATAAGTGTAATCTGTAGATTTTCAGGTGATAAGTCAAGTGACCCTCCAACAAAAAAGTTACTATTCATGTCATCAATAAATTATAACTAGAATACAAAAATTTAAATTTCAGAACAAATTAAATCATAAAACTCAGAAAAATATCCACCTTGAGATCTACTTTTTCTTGACATTAGTGCAGACCTGATAATGAACAAAGCAGAACGAAACCAAAATATTTATATAGCCAGTCTTTCAACCAGTATATTAAGGCCTAGTGTTGTTGTATCTACCTTGAGAGCTAAGACATTATTCAACAACTGAAGCAAAATTATATAACATTTAAGCTAATTTTAAATTTTATAAAGATCATTTAGTACTACCAACCAACGAATGTTCCGAAACATGCAGAGTTCTAATAATAGAAAATAGCAACAAACATATCAAGAAGCTAACGCTTTAGAAATTTATAAAATTCAGCTAAATTAATTAAGATCATCTATTGGAGGCAATAGTTCATCACTAAAGCAGATTTAAGATATCAATACTTGGCTAATCAAAGAATTAGCAACATAAATGTAAAATAATTATGGGGAAAAAACATAAGTAGCACCCGAAAAGCTGAAAAAAAAAAAAAATCTTCTTTAACCCAGAAAAGAATCAACTTACTTTGAAGCAGTCCACAATCTCAAGTGGGTTTGCTGAATTCCACCTAATTTCCCATTAGAACTAAAGATCTGCGAGAATACAAATAAGAACACAAATTAAAACCCAAGAACCAAAAGATACATACAGATAAACATGTCGATGAAGCAAAAGAATGAAATAAACAACCTTATGTGCTGTGATCGATAAAGTTTTGGAATTTCCCGCTCGAAGAGGAGGTGAGCAGGAAAAGGGTTCCTTTGAAACAGAGGAAGTTGGAGAAAGAATAGCCATTAGAGAGCTCTTGAAAGATAAAGTAGACGTTTTGAGTTGTAAACTGCTCAAAGAAATTGGGAATCGAAAGTGTCATTTGCAAAGTAAAAGCTTTTTAAAAAGGTGGGTACGTTTTAGATAGATTAGGAGACACTCGTCTGGCTCCAAAGAAGACGGAGAATTCGAAGTGTTTACAGCTTAATTAATGGCGATGCCAACTAAGCGTGACAACAGTGCTCAAGAAATTGAAAGTACAAACCTTTTCCAGTTTTTTTATTTTTTAATATTTTTTTACAACTCTAAAACAGTACTAGTTTTGTTTTTTTTTTTTTAGAAAAATTACATTATCATCCCTGAGTCTTTTTTTTTTAGATTTTATAATCCCTTAGGCTCCGTTTGTTTACCTCTATTTTATACTCTAAAACATGTTTTTTTTTTTTAGAATTTATAAATTTAAATATTTCTCTTTTGACCTCTATTTTTCTCGTTAATTTATCGAAAAAGATACAAAAATTAGATAAAATGACTTAGGAATATAATAGAAGCAAAATATAAAAAAATTTTAGTGTATTTTGAAAAACACATGACCAGATTAATTATATTTCACAAATCGTACTGTAATTTTTTTAAAAAAATATTTCATAGAAATCCAAAAAATGATAATTTTATATATATCTGGTCAAGATTTTTTTTATACTCTCTCTCCACGAGTTATTTTAAGATAGTTGTTTTGAAAATATTTAGGAGTATAATTTTATACGTATTTATATTCAACACAAAATAACTATTTTTATAATTTTCTAAAGAATAATTTAGTCTACTTAATGAACACCTTATTATAATTTAGGATAACTACTTGTTTTCTTAATAATATTAAACGAATTATATTTATGGACAAAAAGAGTAACTGATTAATGATTAATTACAAGATATTCAACCACGACACATAAATTAGAAACAACATAAATTTTATAAAAAAATCAAATCAAAGAAATTTATGATAAAGGAAATGAGGAAACATGAATAAAGATAAAAGGGAATGAGACTCAATTTGCCTAAACTAAAATTTTATGAAACTTTTTTTTTTTTTTTTTTTGAAACACTTCTTCAAAAAGTTAAAAAAAATATTTAAATAATTTTAAACAAACACTCTTTGTTTATTTTTAAAGATAAAAAAATCAAAAATTAAAAATTAAAACCAAAACAAATGCCTTCTAACTTTTTATAGAATTTATCCCTTAAACTTCTATCAGAAGAAAAAAAGCTCAATTTTTTTTACCAAAAGATAAATATTTGATTTAAATCAAATATAATAAAAAATAAAATTTTAAGATTTTTTTGGCTTTGTATGTAAATGTAGTTAACATAATTTTTAAAATAATAATTTTCACATTTTTCAACTGGATAATACATGTTTAATTGATCTAATTTTGCAAGTTGAAATATTTTTAATATATATAATTTTATAAATTGAAATATTTAATAAATGAAAGTAAAATCCGAGAGTGTTATAAAATTCAAAAATGAATTTATATATAATAAAAGTTAGTGTTGAGGGTTCTATTGGTAAGGATAATTTGGAGTTTTCCATTAGGAATGATTGAATTCATGATTTAAGTCATTATAATCGACTCAGCAAGTGCTTTTTACCACTGAGCTACCCATAAGGGTTATTTTATTATGTCTTTGAAATTATTTGCTGAATATTTTTTTTCACAAGTGGCATTTGTTAAAAAAATATATATATGTTGAGTTGTATTTCAGTCTCTATTTCTCACAAGTGGCATTCATAAAAAACATAACAACAAGTGAATGGAGGAACATAGTTTAATTTTGTAAAAATACATGCATAATATTTTAACAGATAATTATTTAAAATAATATTATCACAATAATTAAATGCATGAATGGGATTATATATATTATCTCAACAAAAAGACTATAATAAAAAGTTTGATTGAATTACAAAACAAGTTTTAATTTTTTTTCTTTCATTTTTTTTCTAATTTGACATATTTATAAAAAGCATTAAGCAACTAATTTTTTTCACAAATTTATTGGAAAAGAAAATATTTGGTTACAAATTAAGTTTAAAATAGATATTCACAATCCTAAAATGAGTAAAATATCAACTTTATTTATTTTTCAAAAAAAATATATCAACTTTATTTATAAAGTGAAATTTAGGTTTAAAATATTAACTCCCTTTTCTCTGTTTGAGTACATATAACTGTCACGACCCATTTCCGTAGGCCGGACCGGCACTAGGGCCCAGGTAAGCTTAAGGCCCCCGAGGCCCGTAGTAAGCCTAAATTATTCAGAAAATATTTGGTTTACAAATTTAAGTTTAAATAGATTATTCACAATCCTAAAGATGAGTAAAAATATCAATCTTTTTTTATGTGAAGTTAGCTAGACGAGTCCCGCAAAAAAAAATATTCATTATTTATAAGTGAAATTTAGGTTTAAAATATTTAACTCCCTTTTCTCTGTTTTTGAGCTAACAGGTATAACTGCTCTAGCGACCCATTTGTCGTTGGCCGAGACGGCACTAGGGCCCAGGTAAGGCTTAAGGCCCGATGGCCCGTAGTAAGCTAAATTATTCCAATCTCGTCTACATAGATTCTCTAATTTTCATACATAACCCGTAAGCCCATATGAACTTAGATATAAGTTTATAAAAAATTTTTCAAATCATCTGGCCCATATCAAAATCATATAAATTTAATCAGGGCTATTCACAATAACTCATAATTACATAAGGGCTTAAAGCACTAAAAGTTTAAGTACAGTTTTGCACAATAATTTAATATGGAATCAGGATATATGTCGTTGTGCTAGGAGTTGTGAATATGTGTTAATAGGCTAACAATAAGGCCGAGCTTGGATGGATTACCATAGCACAGCCCTATCTGCGGAGCTCCAAAAAAAATCTGATAAGAAGAGAAATTTATAGCAATTCAAAATTAAATATCAAGAAATATATGACTTATTAATTTAAAGTTTTTTTACCCATTTAAATAACTCTGCGGAGAAGATTGCACAGGAGCTTACCAAGTCGGATCAACTGCTTCGCTAGTAACCTGGGAGGTTGGAGAGGAATGGGGGATGAGTTTTGGCAACTCAGTGAATAATAATAAATTAATACACACAACATGGTAGCAGTCAAGCCAAAAGCACTTACTATAAACTGAATGACCAACAACAGTCACATATACATGTACATCAGCACCGCACAAACAATATCAGCCTTGCAATAGACATACGTGGAAATTAGTCAGTGGAGTCACGAACCCCGTATGAGGCCGTCCCTCCAACATTGGGCCTCATCCTCTCACATGTGCACCAGGGAGCCGATCCCCCATACTGGCCGACGGTCTAATCTCACTTGACCAGCCTCTCATGTGTTTTTTTTTCCATTCTTTTTTTCTTTCTTCATAACTATACAGGAGGGTAACGCGGTCGTCTCATCAATCTAGAATATCAGGCGCTCACAACAGGAGGCCACCTGGCGGGCTGCGATCCATCTAGATTATCAGGTGCGCCAATAAAGAAACCCACCTGTGGTTTTTTCCATATCACAACAGAGTCATAGAAGTAGGCAACGGGGCGCCGATCTCCATTTAACCCACCCGGCAAATTCTTTATCGTCTTCAGAGATCCATGATCAATATAATCCATTCTACAACCATGGTGACCGCATTTATTCCGCAATTCCACACAAACAATCAAGCATGAGCCTACAGAAGGTATGCACAAATAATCAGACAATTCACCAATTTCATCAAAATGCACAATTATAAATAGTATAATTATGGTGATCGGTACAGATAATATAGTAGAATAAAATACTTATATATATTGTATATATTAAATAAATATTAAGGTTTTATAAAATAAATGTTATGCAAATGGCAGTGTTGATATGATTATTTTACTACTTATCTTTCAGTGATGGAGACGAAGTTCTAGCTTTGTATTCTGTCCTGGAGGAGCATAGAGGCCCGGGGATTAAGAAATTTAAGAATGACACAAAACAAAGTAACTATATCAGATAGCATTTCTTTACCACTTTAATTTTATTTTATACTCTTAATTTTTCTACGTAATCTAATCTCGATATTAATTTCTTTTCTATAATAAATTTTATTTCTCTACCGAACTCTATTTTATTTATTTTCTTTTGAAATCTATTTTATTTTCTACTATTTTCTACTCTCTATAAATAATTAAATTTCTATAATGAATTTTATTTGCTATCAAAATTCATTTTATTTTCTACCGAAATTTCGGCAGCATCTCCCCTAAAAATTGGATTATTCACCTGTTAAAATATCAACAATTTATCTAATAACTCCAAACCACACAGCCCATTCATGGGCAATCAATCAATTCAATTTTCTCATCCTCCATCCGAATATCAATATCAACATTACCTATAATTCTCAATTCTTCATTTCATTCCATTCATGATATTATCATCAAAATTATGACATTATCATCAAATTCTCAATAAATTATCAATAGGATTTTAAGTGAATTCAACATTTATATTATAAATATACTGAAAAATTAAATTAACTTATTTTAACTACTCCAATTACTAATTAAATTAACTAATTAATTAAATACAATAAAATTAATTTAAGTAACTAAATTAGTACGGCCATTAATTTTATTACCCCAAATATTAATCTTTTGTCGAATTTCGCTAGTCGGAGGATTTTCAGCGCGTGCCGGATCGGAGAGCAGTGGTCTGTTGGTGGGTCGAGGCACGCTGGAGCACCCCAAATATAATTTTTTTGTCAAATTTCGCTAGATCGGGGATTTTCACGCGTGCCGGATCGGAGAGCAGTGGCTGTTGGTGGTCGGAGGCACGCTGGAGCGGCGGCAGAGGCACGATCTGTTGTGGCGGAGCAGTGGCGGAGCAGCAGGGCACGGTGGTGGCGCGACAAGGCGGAGACTGTGCTGCTGCCGTGCGCTGCGTAATCTGGCAGAGGGCGGAGCTACTGGCAGTGGCGCGTGGAGGAGCAGTGAGGCGGTGCGACTGGCGGCGTGGAGTGGCGGCGAGGTGGCCCGCGAGGGCTAGGTGGCACAGATCTGCTGTCTCTCGCCAGTCACACGCAGACAGACGCAGGGAAGAAGAAAGAAAAGAAAAGAAAGAAAGAAAGAAAGAAAGAAGAAGAAGAAGGGAGGAGGAGGCGCAGTGGCTGTGTCGGTGGAGTGGAGTTGAGGCGCTGGTGAGGGTGACGAGTGGAGGTGCAGCGC